CTTGCTGATCCTGCTTGATGCTGGTTGTCCTTAAGGTTGCTGTAAGAGTGTGGTTTCAGTGCAACCCGTCTGACCGAAGGTTTGAACTGCGGTTCCAAAGTGTTCCAGCGTGCCGCAAATGAAACACTTCTTGCCAGTTGCACCACACCGTTTCCTCCTAATAATTTTCGCTTGCCTTTGCTCGTGCTGTTCAGCACAACCATTGCGTTGTACCTTTTCCCTTTTCTTTTTGCGTCTGGTTCGGCTGCAAAAACTTCATGGCATACCATGCGTTCGCAAGATCAGACGCATACTTCTTGTGGCAAACAAAAAGACACAGATCTCTGGACATGTGAGATGTTCAGGTTCGGCAGGCGCAGGTTTATTTCGCAAGGTATGAACTTTGTGGCAAGCGCAGCGCTTTCAGATAGATAGATAGATAGAGATAGATAGATAGATAGATAGATAGATAGATAGATAGATAGATAGATAGATAGATAGATAGATAGATAGATAGATAGATAGATAGATAGATAGATAGATAGATAGATAGATAGATAGATAGATAGATAGATAGATAGATAGATAGATAGATACATAGATAGATAGATAGATAGATAGATATATTATATTGGACTAGATCAGACTAAATTAGATGGAATTGGACTAAAGTGGACGGAATCGGATGAGATTAGATTGGATTTGGTTAGATTGGATTTAGGATGGATTAGATTAGATTGGTCTGGATTGGATTAGATTGAAATAGACTAGACTAAATTAGATTGGATTGGATGAGAGCAGATAAGATTAGACCTGGTTAGATTATTAGCTTGGATGGGAGTAGATTAGATCCGATTGGATTCGATTAGATTAGCTTGGATTGGATTATACTAAATTGGACTGGATTAGATTAGATTAGATTGGATTGAAGTAGCTTAGATTGGATTGGATTTAGATTAGATTAAATTGGAATAGATTAGATTGGATTGAATTGGATTCGACTAGACTAGATTGAATTGGAATAGACTATACTACATTAGATTGGAGTGGCGTAGACTAGATAAGGTCAAATAAGATTAGATTGGGTTAGACTAGATTAGACTGGATTGAAGTAGATTAGATAGGATTGGATTGGATGAGACTAGATTGGATTAGTTTAGACTGGATTAGAATAGAATAGAGAGATTAGATTAGACTAGCTTAGATCGGAATATAAATGATCAGGTCAGATTAAGTACCAAAAGTTAGAGTAATACAATTAGCATTGATTGGATTAGATTGGATTATCGATATATTTCTATAGATAGATAGATAGATAGATTAGATAGATAGATAAATAGATAGATAGATAGATAGATAGATACATAGATACATACATAGATAGATAGATAGATAGATAGATAATGATAGATAGATAGATAGATAGATAGATAGATAGATAGATAGATAGATAGATAGATAGATAGATAGATAGATAGATAGATAGATAGATAGATAGATAGATAGATAGATAGATAGATAGATATATATATAGATAGATAGATAGATAGTTAGATAGATAGATAGATAGATAGATACGATTAAATAGATACGATTAGATAGATACGATTAGATAGACAGACAGACAGACAGACAGACAGATAGATAGATAGATAGATAGATAGATAGATAGATAGATAGATAGATAGATTAGATAGATAGATAGATAGATAGATAGATAGATAGATAGATAGATACATAGATAGATAGATAGATAGATAGATCAGATTAGATTAGATTAGATTAGACTAGACTAGACTAGACCAGATTTAGATTAGATTAGATTAGATTAGATTAGATTAGATAGATAGATAGATAGATAGCTAGATAGATTAGATAAATCGATAGATAGATAGATAGACAAACAAACTGAAAAATCGATGGATAAACATGTTACATATGTGCCCATATATATAATATGATTATCTTTGTAGATATAGCATAAAACACAGGCCAAGCACAAACACAAATACCATCACTCAGACACACACACACACAAACTCATACACACATAATGACACTAATACAATGGCATAAACTCACAAACACAGACCCAGACACAGACACAGACAAAGGCACAGACAAAGGCACAGACACAGACACAGACACAAACCCAGACCCAGACCCAGACCCAGACACAGACACAAACACACACCACACACACACACACATGACGCTCAGCGTGCTCCATAAACTGGCGCTCACCAATGATACCGCGGAATATTTAAATGCTGTAGGCCTTCCCTTCCAGAACGCAAGCAAGCATTACGCTCAGGTACCCCCGGCAAGCACGTTGGCGCTTCGTCTTGCCGTCATACACCCTGGGGTGCGTTGGCCTCGAAGGTACCGAGTGCGGGCACGCAAGGAAACGCGCCAGAGCACAGCGACCGTCTGTGCGTGGTATCATCACAACAACTGCGATGAAATGTGCACCCCCTGCGTTTGCCTCACACCCGGCCAACGGTGTGCAGGCGCTGGTGAAAGCCGCGAACACTGCGAGAGCTCACCCGGCACCTGTTGGGTAAGGCTGAAGGTTTTCAATTGAATGGTGGGCTCACCCGGCCCCATGCCTTGATTTAAAAAAACACAAACATAGCGCAAGGCCACAGACCGTGTGCCGCGTCTTTTGGGCCCCATTCTTCCCAGGGCTCCGGATCTTTCCAGCAAACCTCCGGGGTTTCCGCTCCGGTGTTTGAAAAGAAGCATGGCTGGACAGAATGGACAAGGAAGCAACCCATAGCGCCCCTAGCGCCCCCCCCCCCCGCGTCTTTCGGACCCTTAGCGCCCCTTCGGCTGGCCCGGCGAAAGAGAAGCGAGCCCCTTGATCCCGCTTCGCGAGGTCGCCACGGCTTCTCTGGAAGCCAAAAGGCGAGCTCTTGAGGCAACGTTGGCACGTCATGTCAAAGGAGGCAGAACCTGAGAATTCTCCAGTCCTTAAGCCAAAGTCCCAGTCAAAGGAGCCGACTTTCAGCCTAGCCAAAGTCCCGTGTGTTCACCACGACCTCTTCCGAGAACCGTTCGTTGCTCGCCGCTTTCAGGACAATGCACTGCCCTTGCCCTTTTCAAGGCTGGCTCGAAGGAGAGCCAGGAAAACAACTCTTCGGATCCATTTGGCTCGGCGAACTCTGCGAAGCCCTGCTAAAAGTGACTAACTTTTAGTGGTATTAATTGGAAAACTCCATAGTTGGCAAAAAACGTTGTTCAGTCCTACCAGCCCTTGGCTGGTTGCACCAAAGGATCCATTTGGGGTGTGGCCCCTGAACTTTTTGCCCAACTCCTGCGGCCGATCTGCCATCCGCAGAGTGGATTGGTACCGCAGCGGCTCTGGTCGAATTGCTCGCAGAACGCCTTGGAGCGCCTGGAGTTTTCGCCCCCGAACGGCGCACCTCCCGAAAGATTCGATCGGGTACGTCAGGTAAGTGATCGTAAGCCTGCCTGGTACTCAAAGAACCTACAAACAAGCGGGGTGGGGAGGGAAAAATCAGGTTTTGCAGCTGCTACTCGTCGAAAACCAGGTTTTTGGTTGAAGAACCTGGTTTTGCTTCCTGAAACCCGTACAAAAATTGTACAAAACCCGGAAAACAACAGTACAAATCCCGTATTTTCCGTATGCTTTTTGAAACCCAGGTTTCTCCTCGAAAAGCCAGGTCATGTTTTGGAACCCGCTTTTTTGTAGGATTTTGGAGTAGCAGGATGTGATTTTTAACCCACTGGAGTGAGACTGAACAAAGCATGGCTTAAGTGAGTTATAACCAGGCTTACTAACCACTTTCTCACTCCAATCCCCTTTACTCGGTAACTTTCTGCTCCCCTGCTAAAAGTTTAACTTGTGGTTTAGTGGAAAACCCCTTAGTTGGCAAAAGGTTGTTCAGTCCTAACAGCCATGCAAAATCCGCCAAAGTTTCAGCAGACCCTCGTGCCGGCCCCGCATGGCGGGGCAAGCACCGGCAGCTTTAGCGAGGGAGGGCGACAGGGCCGTCCAAATTCTGGCGAAAATACCCGAGGCTTGGAGGATGTCTCTCGAAAAGAACCTGATCGACTACAAACGCCCCATGCAAGAGAAACAGTCTCTGAATGGAGGCTCCAAATCGGCGAATTCTGACCACCACCATTTCCGTTTTGGGCTTCCTTTGGGGAAAAAATACAAAACAAACAATGACCTTAGGGTACTTGTCACCCACATAGGGGCCCTTTTGGAAAAATAGATGGCCCTGGTCAATAGAACAAAACCCAGCTAACCAGTGCCTTCTATATATTTGTTTTAGCAAACTAACCAAAAAAGGACCTATGGTCACCAGTAGAGAGGATAGAATAAGGGTACACTTTTTCCTGTAGTCTATTGTAGGGTTCGGAACCCTCCCAACCAAAAGAGAGTTTCGGTACAAGTTGGCACCAATCGCTGGGGGACCTAGCTAAGGAACCGGGTACTTGTCACTCACCCTTCACCTCTCAGTCGTTGCTTGCCTGGCAGTCACATATCGATTCTGCACGAGCTGAGCTCCATGGTCCTCAGTTGCCGGCCGAAAAAAAAAAAAAAAAAAAAAAAAAAAAAAAAAAAAAAAAAAAAAAAAAAAAAAAAAAAAAAAAAAAAAAAAAAAAAAAAAAAAAAAAAAAAAACGACCGCTGCTGCTCGCTTTCGGCTTTCGGGAGGGGGGGGGGGGGGCGAAAGCTCCATTTTTGTTTGAAAACGAGCCTGGAAAGAATGATAAAACGTATGGTTCCGGTAGTGATACATTGCTTTTAAAGCCAACAAGGAGAACAAGGGAAAACAACACATAGTCTGGAGCAAATGGAAGCGGAGCTCAAAGCCCGTTGAGCCAAAGCTCCTGGTGGTATTGAAGTTGTTTCAATGAACAGAAGCCTCAGTTGCGTTCAAGGACCCAGAAATACAACATGATCACCTTTTGGAGACCTGACGAAACAGGACGAAGCCAGGGGGAAACCAAAAGGTTCAACGGTGAATTCGCTTTGGGCAAGTGAGAAGCAAGCAGGAATGGGAAGCGGGGAAGCGAAAACGGAGCTGTGTAGCCCTGTTCATTCAGCTGGGACAACCAAAGCTCCATAGGTTTTGAAGCCGTTAACAGTCACCCTCCAAGCCACCTCCTTTTTTGCCAGGAATGGGGAAAACAAAAACGCCCGTTCCAGTCAATGCAAGCGTGGGGAGGAGAATCCAAGCTCGAGAAGATTTCGCGAACATGACACTTCTTGGGGGTTCCATGTCTGATCCCCTGCCAACAGTTTAACTTTTGGTGGATTAGATTCGGAAACCCTACCACTAAACCAACAAACAACGCGGGTTCAGATGTTTCACCTTTCTGAAGAGAGTCACTAGAATCCTCCATACCTCCCAGAAGCTTCTCAGGACCCTTCTAAGAACCTGTTCTAAGATTTTACCGAGGGCGACAGAGCTCTTTGTATCCTTCCAACAGTTTGTTTCTGCTTTACTAAGGGAATCAGGGTACCTTTTTTTCTGTAGTCTATTTTAGTAGGGTTCGGAACCCTCCCCGCCAAAACAGGAAGAGACAGGGCACTACTGGGGGACCTGGCTAAGGAGCCGGATATTTTTTTCTGGGAACCACCCAATTTGTACCCTGGGCCGGTCTGTCCACTCCCGTCCAGTCGCGGGAGGCGGCAGGCTGCACTCTCCTGCAGGCTCTGCAACAGCCTGCAGCAGAAGCAGCAACCTCAGCAGCCAAAAAGTGGACCCGTTTGGGTGGTACATGTAGCTACAGTGAAACCAAGCTGAAACAACCAGTTTAGAGGCAAACTTATGGTGGACCCTTTTGAATGCATAGGTGTCCTTTTTGGGAAAATAGATGGATATCCCTGGTAGTTGATTGAACCACCAGGTAAGCCAGGGCCCTCTATGTTTCAACCAAATCAACCAAAAAGGACACCTATGTTTGGGTGGTACATGTAGCTGAAGGGAAACCAAGCTGAAACAACCAGTTCAGAGGGGATGGTTCAACATGGTGGACCTTCATCGTTGGTAGTTGAATTATGGAATCCCTAACAGAGGGCATGAATTTAGCTGTGGCAATCAAGAGGACCCTTTCCTGCCGTGCTCTACAAGGATTTACTAAGATTCTGCTCGGAGCAATCTGCGGCATGAAGCTCCAAATTTGTATCTGTATTCAGGGCGGGAATGTGGTGTGGCCCTTCCTTGCTGCAATTGCGACTAGTGGGTTTTTCTGTTGATGCGACTGGCAGGGACAACCCCAAAAAACAAACAGAGCGCACCACCAATCGGAAACCACTGGCTAGATGACTCAGCGCTTGGATCAGGCGCACGGCATGTAGTGCACCTGTCTTCTGAGACCCCAAAACCATTGACCACTGATAATTGGCGTGGGGGCGCCTCGCAAAGTGCAACTTCATTCAAACCAAGCAATCCCCGTCAATGCAGCCAACCCTTCACCTGTTTAAACTGGTATCATGATGAGTGATGATGATCAACACTCAAACAATACGTTTGTGTTTCTGTATGCACAAATGTGTATGTAGAAATGTACAATATGTAGCAATGGTGGCCACGCTTGTCGCGCAACGTGCCGGAGAATGATTCCGGGCCCGCATTCGTGGGGTTTGGCCTAAATTTGGACCCAGACTGGGGAAACGCCCATGATTGAAGCAAGCCAACTCCCCAACGGGTTGCCACATTAAACTCCTCGGATATCTTCTGTTGAATGTGCAAGGCTGAATGAAAACGTGGTTGCGAAAGCAACATCCACAACATTGCTGCCATTTGACAATGTGTCAAGCTTACGCATCCTCACAAATGGCTGGCTTCAAATAGTTTGTTGTTGAGCTGCACCAAATACAAGTCAAACGGACACGAAGACAAACATACGCCAGTACCCACGTCCATTGCAGCAAGTCACAGAAATGCGGCAGGTGTCGCCTGAGCTGGACAAGAGAACAACAAGCAGGGGCCCTTACAGGGTGCTCAAACTTGCCGCGCCTTTCGACTTTGGCGCAGTCAGGCTTGGGGAACATCCCCCCCCACGAAAAACTCGGCACTCGTTGCCCTGCAACCCGCTTTCCTTGTTTGCCTGAGGCTTTCTCCCACCCAGAGGCTCCTGGCTTCGGCTTTCAATGGGAAGACCCGACCCCTCCATTCACCTCGCTTCGGTGTTTGGGGGTCTCAAGACCAGGTTGTTTGAAGGTCCTAAATCAATCGGGAGCCTCTGGGGATGTTGCAAGGCATTTCCCCCAAGTTCCATCCCACTCTCCACAAACTCCATGTCTTCTCTGACCATGTCCCAGTGAACGTCATTGTTTTGGGGAAGAGTGCCCCGTCCTTTCTCAAACCCTCACTCACTCACTCACTCACTCGCTCACCTTTATTTTCTTCTCTCTCTCTCTCACTCTCACTCTCTCTCTCTCTCTCTCTCTCTCTCTCGCTCTTGGATGCTAGTTGAGTCAAAATCAAAACCTGGCAATCAACTGGTCTACTCAGAACCATATAAAGATCTTACAAGAGCGGCTGCACCCCTTTATGATTAGGGACTATCCCGTACCCAGGTTTTGATTGTGGCCTCAGTTCAGCAAAGCTAACAGCAGTCGGGCCACTTCGGTAATCATTTCAACTCGGAGATCCGAGCCGTAAAGTGTCTGGGCCAAGCAAAAGGCACGGGCGAGAGTCCGTCACCCAGAGCACAAGAGACAAGGGCTGCTCGGTGTTCTTTTTGTTCCTTCTTTTCTTCCTCTTTTCTCGGGGAACTCCCAACATGGATTTCGGTTTTCGGTTTGGTTTCCCATTAACACCAACAAACAATTGCCCACCCCCCCCCCCGGAGGCACAATATCCACGCTTCCAGGGCAGTGGCCCGGTGCATCCGCTTTAAGTTCTCTGCATGGGAACTTCAAGAGTATTCCGCATTTGTTGTTGCATGAGTGTTACCCCCTACGCAAAATACAAACTTTTTCCAGGGCATGTTTTGGACAACCTGGTTTTTCGAGGTAAATACCTCCTTTTCTAGTAGAGGGTCGACATGATTCCCCAAAGTCGGGGGCAATCAAAACCCGGTATTAAACTGGTCGTAATCCCAGAACCATGCTTCAATAATTCAGAAGGCGGAGATCCGCGGCTATTTATGGCTGGGATTGGCCCTTAGTAACCTTTATCTACCCGGGTTTTGATTGTGGCTCACATGTCTTTTTCTGAACCGTCCTTAAAAAAGGGCCGCGCTCTTTGTAAACAACAAAATTTGTGGGTACATAGGTGCACACCCCCACTTATATATCTTTTGATGAAACTGAATGTGACAGAAATGACACTTGAGAAGAAAATGACGGCATATGGCTTGTTGTCTTGCCTCATTGACAAGTTGTTAGCCTGATTTCAGGTCCTGCAAAGAGCGACAATTGAGCCACGGAAACTGACGCGCAAAAAGAACCGTCAACCAAGACGGTAAACAGCAACGCCAAGGGGCGTTTCTCAAAATCATCCAAACAGATCTTGTCATAGGTGTCCTTTTGAGCAAAACAGATGTGTTTCCGTGGTAGACGAATGGCATAAAGCCAATCTAAACCAGTGCCCATCTACTTCTCATCAAGAGGATCAAAAGGACACCATGTCTCAGTTGCTTTCTGCTCCCCTGCTAAAAGTTTAACTTGTGGTTTAGCGGAAAACTCATTAGTTGGTAAAAAGTTAAAGTCCTAACAGCCAAGCAAAGTGCACCAAAGAGATCTTGTCCTGTACTCATTCGGGCCCGAACCCCTTCGGAAGTCGCACGCGCACTTTTCTCCATTCGCTTGGGAGTCCTGTCCTGCGAATCCACGAGCTGGCGATGAGGGGATGGGAGCTCTGTGGAAACCAGGTCCTCCAGTACAGAGGTTAGAAAAAGGGTACCAGCTGTTTTCTGCGGTCGATTTTAGTAGGCTGCGCAACCCTCCCAACCAGAAAAGGTCAGAGGTTAGGGTACTTGTTTTCCTCTTGTTTCTTTCTTCTTCTTGTTTTTTCCTTCTTTTTTTTTTCCGGTGGTCTATTTTAGTGTCGGAATTCCCTCCCAACCAAAGGAACGGTGCAGGGCACCAATCGCCGGGACACCGGAGGGCTCCAGCGGCTCCGAGTGCAATGGTTGCAACGACCTTTTGATCAACCCCACCATGGGTCCACTGCTCAGTTCTTCGCTGACCACTGCAAAAAAAGGGAACCCTTTTTTGGGGCTTGGACCATTTTTGGTGGGCAACATGAGTAGAGCTAGGTCCAGTTAAAGAATGTATATTTTAGTGTTTGCCTTCACTTTAAAATGTATCCTAAGTCTACCCCAGATGGGTCCACTGTGTGTCAAGGTGAGACGCCTCTGCAAGAAGCAGAAATCAGCTTTTGTGGGTCCAATTCGGAAAATCCGGTGCCTGTTTCAACCAAAAAGTTAAAGTCCCCAAAGATATGTTGCCATGTAGCCATAAATTTGACTCGGCATGTGGTCACGGAACATTGAGATAATTGGCAAATTCGAAGACATCGTTGGGGAAATCATTGAGAAGGTTGTGGGAAGCTGTGGATTTACCCAGACTTGCCTAGGTTCTTACAACTGCAGTGGCCGTCCCCCAATAAATATGGGAAGCTGTAGATTTGCCAGACTTGCTTTTTGTTCTGCGGACTCGGGGTGCATGAACTGGGGGGCTTGTATATACTTACCCCTTAAAACTCCAAGCCCTGGGGAAGTTAATCTTTTACAGACATATAGCCCATGTTACCCCACAAAAGTTGAGAAAAGTTGTGTTTTTAAGAGGTAAGTATATTCTCCAGTTCACGGATTTCAGTGCATGGTTCTAATAGAGTAAAAAGGGTGGTGAATTCACCTACCCCAACATGGGAACCATTGGTTTTGACAACCACAGCCATTTGACCACACCCCATATCTCTTCAAACATGGCAAGCCAACAGGTCTTGGTCCATGCCATGCGATCGGACCGAGACAACCAGCGAGGAGAAAAAGGAAGGAATCCCACAGTGAATCGTTGGACAGCGCGGAGAGGCAAGCACGCAAGCAAGCATTGGTATCAAAAGCGGGCAAATAGGCATTCTCGTGTGTTCCAAGATGCTGGCTCCGGACCGAGTTTGAACAGTTTGGGCCAAAAGTTGTTCGAAGGAACGGAGAATGAGGTGCCAGCCGGAAGGTAGCCCCCACTTGATGGTTAGTTGGGTATGGGTCAAAATTAAAGCACCAGGGCACCGCAGGTTTTGGCCCATGTTCCTTTTTGAGTACCTTTTTGACACACTCCCAGTGTTTTGCGACACACGATTAGGAATGCGTAGGGGACAGGCCGCCTGGTCAAAGTCCTGCATGGGATCTCAAGAAGCCATCCATAGAGACACAAACTGTGACTGATTAGCACCAAACGAGATCGAAGCACATCTCCGTGAGGTGGCGGGACGATCTGCCTGAATACGAACATGTTGACGGCGATTGTCGCGAAAGCTGCGATGCAGGGTGAGCAAGGCAAAGCGCTTGAGATAGGGAGCGAACAACAATCAGGAATGTCATGGACACGATGCCAAAGTCTGAAGAATGGCAAAACGAGAACACGCTATGCGCTTGCTACAAAGGGCACCTAGCGCCGCCTTGTGCCCCCTTTAGAGGGTATCCCGGTGACTTCCCTGCTTCGATTCTAGATCTACCTCTCAAGTGTTTCATTCTGACAGATGAGAAAGAGGTTTGTGGGGGTTGATCAGTATTCTGTTCGGCCCCCAGGTTTGACCATGGGTATTTTTTCTTTCATGTGGCTGAAATTGCAAGTCTTTTTAGTGGCTTCCCAACCAGTGGTCATCCTATGTATACCGGATCTTGTGATCAACCAATGTGGCCATGGGTCAAAAGCCCGTACCCCCAGTGAAAATCCCAATCCTCACAAAAATAGACTAAAATGGGTGGTGCACCTACCCGAAAAGGGTAGCATTGGTTTTGACCCACAGCCATGTGAAGAAAGCTGAGTTGAAACCCTCAGATTCCGTCGCCCCTCTCCAATCCACGCCTAGGCCGGCGCGTCGCAGCATCGCCTCCTGAACCGCTTGCCTCGGTCTTTCAGAAGCGCTTAAGCTGACTGTGGTGACGCCAAACTCCTCAGTTGCTTTCTGCTCCCCTGCTAAAAGTTGAACTTGTGGTTTCATGGAAAACCCATTCGCTGGCAAAAAGTTAAAGTCCTAACGTCCAACCAACATGCACCAAAGAAACAGCCACGGAACGGCCAATTTCTGTCGGGTGGTTCACCAAACAACCGTCTTCCGTCAAACACTGTTTAGGAAACACCCAAAAGGAAATGCTTGTTCTGGGCCCCAGGTGGGCAACTTGTTGGACATGGGAAGTGATCAAAAGGTCCCATGAACATGGGGTGACCAGTAGGGAAACCACCCAAAGATGACTCAAACACCACTAAACGGGACAAGATACCCATGGCTCATTTTGGGGCCAGGAATATTGATCGACATTGATCAATCCCCACATTCAAAACAAGTCGAGGGAAGCAGGCTTTCCCACGCGTTTGCCGGACATACTCGACCTGTCGCCAAAAGAGTATGTTCGATCAAACCACACCCGTAGCCATGCTGATCCACGTCCATCCGCCAAAGGACGGAGAGAATGCATGCTCCATGAAGTGCTCGTGCTTCCTTCAGCAATCTCGATGAATACACCTTGTTGATATCCAGGGCAAACCCCGAAACCTCAGAACGCCATTTGAACGAAGGTACCTCTTCATCTACCAGCAAGTTCAATTCCCCTGCTCAAAGTTTGACTTTGGATGGGTTAAATGGAAGCTACCCCTAAACCCTAAAAGCTTAAATTTTGAAGGGATAGCTGGCACCAACTACTTCTGGCTGGATTGTTCCTGACTTGCTACTTCAACATGCGCTCGAAACTGCGATGCTCGGACGCCGGGCTTGCTGAATGGACGGTCAACCACCCACACCTTAGTCACTTCACCCAAAGATGTCTGTAAACAGGAGGGAAGACAAAAAAGCTCGCAGACCCCCAGGATCCCCTCAAGATGTAATCAGAAATGCGAAGCATTCTATGGGAGTTGTTTGCCGCATGTGCGTGCGCGTGCGCGTGCGCGTGGGCGTGGGCGTGAGCGTGGGCGTGGGAGTGGGCGTGGGCGTGCGCGTGGGCGTGCGTGTGCGCGTGGGCGTGCGCGTGGGCGTGGGCGTGGTCGTGGGCGTGGGCGTGGGCGTGGGCGTGGGCGTGGGCGTGGGCGTAGGCGTGGGCGTGGGCGTGGGCGTGGGCGTGTGCGTGTGCGTGTGCGTGTGGGTGTGTGTGTGTGTGAGTGGGTGCGTGTGGGTGTGGGTGTGGGTGTGTGTGTGTGTGGGTGCGTGCGTGCGTGCGTGCGTGCGTGCGTGTGCGTGCGTGTGCGTGCGTGTGCGTGTGCGTGTGTGTGTGTGTGTCTGTACATGAAAGGGTTGAAGTGGGCATCCTTGGAAACAACAGCCACCAGAGGATAACAAACCAAAGGGTAAGTGCGTAAATGAGCTTGAGATTGGGATCCGCATGCAAGCCGAACTGTGGCCTCAAAAGTAGTCGCTCGCTCGTGGATGGGCACGGGCGAGCAGTGAGGGCCGGATTGTTTTTGTTGTTTTTATTTTTTTTATTAAAAAAAATATTTGGCACTGGGAGGCAAACCTTGCATTTGCTTAAGCCACTGGAAAACAAATATTCCTTTGAAACCAACTGGGGAAAATCAAAACATACTAGGAAAATGAAAGAAACAGGCATGGTCGACCTTACCGTGACGTTTACAATGGCTAAGTCACAGTCGTTGCATGACTTCGAGCCCGAAATGACCATGGTCTCCATGGCCGGTAGCCACACAGAGGTAGGCAGTGGCAGGTCTCGGAATTGGAGCCCCAACATGGCAGCAATCAAAATCCCACGGGAAGACAACACACTACACTCGCGAGCCTGAAGCTTGCTTTGCCACTGGCAGCCAAGGCTCATTCATAGCAACCTGAGGCGAAAACATGCCTGTCAATCCAACAGCCTCTCCAATGCAAGGGCCAGGCTGGACTTGCTTGAACTTGACATCGAATTGAAAGGCAAAACTGTTAAACACGCCCTCAAGCGAAGAGCTTACTTCCTCCCCAATCGCATTTCGCATGTCGTGGCCTATCTGCAAAACTCGCCCTGGCCTGTTCCACGCTGTGGTTTGTGCCCACTTGCAGGACTGCGATTTTTTGCAAGCTTCATTCTGTTCGGTTCCTCAAAGACCTTACGTGCTGACAATCAACCGTCCTAGCTGTGGGAATATCTTATTGGGAATCCCCCTTGGAGACTCCAAAGTTTTGAGGTGTCCGACGCTGACGCGTCGAATGGCTGCCAACATGGCCAATGTGCGGCCTGCTCATGTGCTTTGGCCCCGCCTTCTCCACGCTGAGTGGGGGCTCCCCCTGCAAGGCAAAACACGGCAAAGCGCCGGACCCCCAATCGAAATTTCGCTGTGCCATGGGAAAGCAGAGGCACCAAACAAAAGGCCACATGCTTGCGATGAGAGAAGCCTGGCGTCGAGCACATGGCATCCAAACATAGCAATGATCAGTGCAGCTGTTTCAGCTGAAAGCAATTAATTGTGACACTGTCAGCAAACAGAAGATTCCTTTGTATACAAGGCCAGCTTGCAAAATGTCGATTATGACGATGATGATGCTGATGCTGCTGGTGCTGGTGGTGCTGGTTGTGCTGGTGGTGCTGGTGGTGCTGGTGGTGCTGGTGGTGGTGGTGGTGGTGGTGGTGGTAATGCTGCTGCTGCTGCTGCTGCTGCTGCTGCTGCTGGTGGTTAAAATGATGCGGACCAGGGCCGGAAGGGAGACGTTCCAGCTCTGAGTCTTTTTCCGTCTCTCTCATTGGTTTTTGCGAGACATGAATGGGTTACTGACTCGTGCTGTTCCCAGCTCTGAAAACGAACCCTCAAAGCCAGACTTTGCTCGAGATCTCCCGCGAATACATCATACTGTGCTAGTTGTTTCGCCGTATTTCACAAGCCCCTGGTACCTTCGTGGCAGCTCGCGAAGGCATCGAAGACTGAGGCCTCCCTTCAGAAAAAGAAAGCAAAAGACTTCACAGTTCCTCTTAAAGAGGCCCTTTATTTGGCAAGGATGCAAAATGGCACCAAAGGACTCTGTATCAAGGACCCTTGTCTGACAAGGATGCAAAATATATATACATTGTATACATGTATACATAATTCTATATATATATATATACACGTGTATATATGTTAAGATACATCCACCTGTACATGACACTGCCCATTTGTACATCAAGGCCTTGAGCCTACAAGTAGGCTACAGAAAGACTACAGCCCTTGCCCGCTGGACAACAAGCGCCGAGCTGTCACATCACAGGTTTGACACATCTCGCTCATCAGGTGTTTACACAGTCAGTCCCACTTTTACATGGTAGCGGAGCAGTGGTCCCTGGAACACGATCCACGATCACAACCCAGGGTGAGCTCCAACATACACCCACGGGTTCAGGTACACAGTAGTGAGCAACATGGCACAACAACAGCAACAGCAACAGGAACAGGAACAGCAGCTGGAAGGAACCCACAAATATAAGATATCACCACCACGGTTCACAGGAGAATACAACACCTTCGAAGAATGGAAGTACAAGATGACAGCATACTTGGGACTTCAAGACCCAGCATACAACAGACTGCTGAAGCAGTCAGAGCAATCAAAAGGACAAGTTACAAACGACCAACTTGAGAATGCAGCACCTTCACAAGCAGTAGCAGAGCAATGAGTATAACTGAGCAACAACTTGCACTACCTCTTGGTGAGCACATGCCATGGACCAGCATCTACAATCTGCAGACAAAACATGCAAGGCAACGGATTTGAAACATGGCGGCTGATACATGCAAGGTACTCCATACCACTTGGTAAAAGGAGCATTGGGTACCTTACACGGCTGCTAAAACCACAACTTGATGAACAGAAGTTCGAAGAGAGCTGTGCAACATGGGAGTTGCAACTCTCCAGATATGAACAGGACAACAACACACACTACCAGATGCAGTCAAGATTGCAATACTGCTCAACGATACAAAAGGACCACTACAGCAACATCTACAGCTGCAAGCAGGAAACATCACAACATATGCACAGATCATATCAATGGTGATCGACTACTACAGAGCGACAGCATCATTCACCAGGCTACAAGCAATCACATCAAGCAACAATAGCCAAGGACCAGCGCCGATGGACATAGGAGCAACATGGTACAACAAAGGTAAAGGAAAGAAAGGCAGGCGCAAGGGCAAAGGAAAGCACAACAAAGGCAAAGGCTATGGCGGCTACGGGAACAACTACAGCTACAACAACTACAAAGGAGGAAAAGGCAATCAACTACCGGTTGGACAAGGAAATTCATTCAAACGACAACAAGGATATGGCAAAGGAAAAGGATACAGCAACAAAGGAAAAGGCAAAGGAGCAAAAGGAAAACACGCAACAAATGTTTGCTACAGATGCGGACAACCAGGACACATGGCCAAACAATGCAGAGTGGCGATTTACAACTGCGATTGCTGATGTAGAGGCTCTCCTGTGCTGCTGTACCAATTGCGTACAGTTCTGATTCTGCTGATGAAAGTGCTATTGTTGCTTGTGTTCTGCTGCCATAGTGTACTGCTGCTCCAAAGAAGTACAGTACAAATCCTGTTGCGCTTTTCCTGGTTGTCTCGCATGATGCCCAGTTGGCATCTGTGTATGTGTCAATGTTCAGTGGAATTCGCTTGTCCTGTGTTTGTATCTTTGGTCGCAGGTTGTGTCGCATCTACCTTGTTCCGTTGAGGTATCTGATCATGTGCTTGAGCTTCTTGTTGTCAAGTTGTGTTGGTGCTTGTAGTGATCTTGCTAGCTCTTTTGCTCCATAGCTGATGTCTGGTCGAGTGTATGATAGCCATTGTATCTTGCCAACAAGCCGCCTGTATTGTTTGTGCTCTAGTAGTGCTTCATCTTCTGCCGTACCTTTCATGTGGCACTCCTGTTGACGGTGCTGGGTTGCATGTGGTCATTCCTGACTCTTCCAGGATGATGTCAACATAGTTGTTGTTCAAGCTGATGTCAATGTAGTCGCCTTTGTGTGAGATGTTCCTACCAAGGAAATGTAGTGTTGATCCAACTGTTAGGTCGCCTGTGTGTCTCAGCAGGACTTCTTTTTGTATCCTGCTGAAGAGCGTGTTGATGATGCTCTGTACTCCTATGAAGAGGAGGTCGTCTACATAGATCATGATGTAGACTTGGCAGTCTTTTGATCTGTAGACATTGCTTTCTGTTGTGCATCTCACAAGTTCAAGTGTGACTGTGAGAATGTGTGCTATGTGGTCTTGCCATTGTTTTGGTGATGATCGTAGGCCATAAATGGCTTTGTTCAGCCGCCACATTATGTCACTTTAACAATATATATATATATATGTATACCTGGTTCGCAGTGCGTGTGCAGCGCACATCTCTCCGCGCCTCGTGCAAAGAGCAAGGATCGGGCTCCACAAGGGCCTGTTGCAGCTGCGAAAGCTCAAAGCGGCAGGCAGGTCTGGGAAAAGCCTCCGGAAGCTGGTTTGATACTCTACTCACTTCCTGAGTTGATGGTTCAAAACAAGCCCACACTTCTCGTTTGCCAGTCAAATGGTTTGTTTGTTTTTTGCTTTTTTCAAAAAGCTTAAAGTTCAGGAACTCAGGAAGTGAGTCTAGGCAAAACACAAGCCTCCTTGCCACATATTGTCTGTTGATGTCGAAAAGTTGAAAGCCAATGGGCCAAGAACCCTCGAAATACGCCAAGGACTCAAGGAGATGCAAACGCACATCTTCCATTTGGTTAAGACCCCTGGAAAAATATATTATTTCCAGTAGTGAAATCGATTCCCTTTGAAACCAACAGGGAAAAATAAACAATATTCGTAAGCAAATGGAGACCTTGATTTCCTATTGGTTGATTGGTGTTGCACCTTGAGCTGTCCGCTCTCAAGCAGAGGCAAACGCCGAATGGTTCTTTGGGATCAGTCTGGCTAGTATGGTTTGCAGGGGTAACCCAACCCCTTTTTGCTGGGATCAACATGTGCGCGAAATGCTGCTGAGGGAGAAGCGACTTCTCAAGGCTCTTTGCCCTTCAGCAGGGCAGCACTTAATAAGGGTCTGCAAACATTTGGGTGTGGCTCAAAGTTGAGAAGGTCTAGGGTTGCGCATGTCTTAGTCTTTGGTCCCATTTACCAAGGCGCCATCCTGCTACATTTGTTTGACAGCCATTTGAACATGTTCATCTTTTCAACTCGACCTCCCTTCCCCAGCAGCTCGGCAAAAAAACAAAAACAGGCCAAACTGGTTGTTTACAACTCAAACTCGGACCACACCCAACAAATATACCTTATACAACCTCTTTCAGGGGTAGCACGTATGTATACATATATATATATATATATATTTACACCTATATATATACATATACATATGTATATATATACATATACATATACCTATATATATATATATGCACGTGCTTTAGGGCTAAATGTGGAAGTGACAAGAACAAGTCCCAGGTCTCCAGCGAGTGACTCAGCCAGCGAGTCTTGGGCTTCGGCAGTGCCCTCCTTTGGCCGGCAGTTCTTCCACAGGACCGCCGTGCCCGCCTGCGCCAAAAAAACCCGCGGCTCCGTCCCCCCCAAAAAAACCCGCGGCTCTCCCAATAATGGTGGGTACAGAAAACAACCAAGGTCTGCTTATTACTTTTGTATTTGTTCATGCCAGGCACCTGCTTCAACCTGTACTTGTTCATTCAAGGCACCTGCTTCAATCTGTATTTGTTCATTCAAGGCACCTGCTTCAATCTGTATTTGTTCATCCAAGGCACCTGCTTCAATCTGTATTTGTTCATCCAAGGCACCTGCTTCAATCTGTATTTGTTCATTCAAGGCACCTGCGTCAACCTGTATTTGTTCATTCAAGGCAACTGCTTCAATCTGTATTTGTTCATAGCCAAGGCACCTGCTTCAAACTGTGTTTGTTTAATATCAAGGCACCTAGCATCAATCTGTAAATTGTTATCAATCAAGGCACACTGCATTCAATCTGTATTTGTTCATCCAAGGCACCTGCTTCAACCTGTTCTTGTTCATTCAAGGCACCTGCTTCAATCTGTATTTGTTCATTCAAGGCACCTGCTTCAATCTGTATTTGTTCATCCAAGGCACCTGCTTCAATCTGTATTTGTTCATCCAAGGCACCTGCTTCAATCTGTATTTGTTCATTCAAGGCACCTGCTTCAATCTGTATTTGTTCATCCAAGGCACCTGCTTCAATCTGTATTTGTTCATACAAGGCACCTGCTTCAATCTGTATTTGTTCATTCAAGGCACCTGCTTCAATCTGTATTTGTTCAGTCCAGAGGCACCTGCTTCAATCTGTATTTGATTCATTCAAAGTGCACCTGCTTCAATCTGCATTTGTTTCATACCAAGGGCACCTGCTCTCAACCTGTTCATTGTTCCATTCAAGGACCCACTGCCTTCAATCTGTTTTGTTCATTCAAGGCACCATTCATCAATCTGTATTTGTTCAAAACCAAGGCACCTGCTTCAATCTGTATTATTGTTCATACCAAAGCACCTGCTATCAATCTGTAATTTGTTCACGGGCTGCCACCTCTTCAACCAGTATTTGGTATCCTATCAATGTTGCGTGTTGTATCCAATCTGTATTTGTTCATCCAAGGCACCTGCTTCAATCTGTATTTGTTCATTCAAGGCACCTGCTTCAATCTGTATTTGTTCATGCAAGGCACCTGTTTCAATCTGAATTTGTTCATTCAAGCCTGCTTCAATCTGTAATTGTTCATTCAAGCCACCTGCTTCAATTTGTATTTGTTCAATACCAAGGCAACCATGTCTTAACCTGTTCTTGTTCTTTCAAGGCACTGCTTCAATCTTTCACCAGATCCCATAAGGACCAGACCCAAAGGGGGCAAACGCGGGCAATCTGTAATTGTTCATCCAAGGCACCTGGCTTATGCAATTGTATTTGTTCATCCAAGGCACCTGCTTCAATCTGTATTTGTTCATTCAAGGCACCTGCTTCAATCTGTATTTGTTCATTCAAGGCACCTGCTTCAATCTGTATTTGTTCATCCAAGGCACCTGCTTCAATCTGTATTTGTTCATTCAAGGCACCTGCTTCAATCTGCATTTGTTCATCCAAGGCACCTGCTTCAACCTGTTCTTGTTCATTCAAGGCACCTGCTTATCTGTATTTGTTCATTCAAGGCACCTGCTTCAATCTGTATTTGTTCATCCAAGGCACCTGCTTCAATCTGTATTTGTTCATCCAAGGCACCTGCTTCAATCTGTATTTGTTCATTCAAGGCACCTGCTTCAATCTGTATTTGTTCATTCAAGGCACCTGCTTCAATCTGTATTTGTTCATGCAAGGCACCTGCTTCAATCTGTATTTGTTCATCCAAGGCACCTGCTTCAATCTGTATTTGCTCATCCAAGGCACCTGCTTCAATCTGCATTTGTTCATCCAAGGCACCTGCTTCAATCTGTATTTGTTCATCAAGGCACCTGCCTCAATCTGTATTTGTTCATGCAAGGCACCTGTTTCAATCTGAATTTGTTCATTCAAGGCACCTGCTTCAATCTGTATTTGTTCATCCAAGGCACCTGCTTCAATCTGTATTTGTTCATTCAAGGCACCTGCTTCAATCTGTATTTGTTCATCAAGGCACCTGTTTCAATCTGAATTTGTTCATTCAAGGCACCTGCTTCAATCTGTATTTGTTCATCCAAGGCACCTGCTTCAATCTGTATTTGTTCATGCAAGGCACCTGCTTCAATCTGTATTTGTTCATCCAAGGCACCTGCTTCAATCTGTATTTGCTCATCCAAGGCACCTGCTTCAATCTGCATTTGTTCATCCAAGGCACCTGCTTCAATCTGTATTTGTTCATGCAAGGCACCTGCCTCAATCTGTATTTGTTCATGCAAGGCACCTGTTTCAATCTGAATTTGTTCATTCAAGGCACCTGCTTCAATCTGTATTTTTTCATCCAAGGCACCTGCTTCAATCTGTATTTGTTCATTCAAGGCACCTGCTTCAATCTGTATTTGTTCATGCAAGGCACCTGTTTCAATCTGAATTTGTTCATTCAAGGCACCTGCTTCAATCTGTATTTGTTCATCCAAGGCACCTGCTTCAATCTGCAATTGTTCATTCAAGCCACCTGCTTCAATCTGTATTTGCACCTGCTTCAATCTGTATTTGTTCAGTCAAGGCACCGACTTCAATCTGTATTTGTTCATGCAAGGCACCTGCTTCAATCTGTGCTTGTTCATTCGAGGCACCTGCTTTAATCTGTATTTGTTCATTCAAGGCACCTGCTTCAATCTGTATTTGTTCATCCAAGGCACCTGCTTCAATCTGTATTTGTTCATGCAAGGCACCTGCTTCAATCTGTATTTGTTCATGCAAGGCACCTGTTTCAATCTGAATTTGATCATTCAAGGCACCTGCTTCAATCTGTATTTTTTCATCCAAGGCACCTGCTTCAATCTGTATTTGTTCATTCAAGGCACCTGCTTCAATCTGTATTTGTTCATGCAAGGCACCTGTTTCAATCTGAATTTGTTCATTCAAGCCTGCTTCAATCTGTAATTGTTCATTCAAGCCACCTGCTTCAATTTGTATTTGCACCTGCTTCAATCTGTATTTGTTCAGTCAAGGCACCTACTTCAATCTGTATTTGTTCATGCAAGGCACCTGCTTCAATCTGTGCTTGTTCATTCGAGGCACCTGCTTTAATCTGTATTTGTTCATTCAAGGCACCTGCTTCAATCTGTATTTGCACCTGCTTCAATCTGTATTTGTTCATGCAAGGCACCTGCTTCAATCTATTCGAGGCACCTGCTTTAACCTGTATTTGTTCATTCAAGGCACCTGCTTCAATCTGTATTTGTTCATTCAAGGCACCTGCTTCAATCTGTATTTGTTCATTCAAGGCACCTGCTTCAATCTGAATTTGTTCATTCAAGGCACCTGCTTCAATCTGTATTTGTTCATTCAAGGAACTTGCTTCAATCTGTATTTGTTCATTCAAGGCACCTGCTTCAATCTGTATTTGTTCATTCAAGGCACCTGCTTCAATCTGTATTTGTTCATGCAAGGCACCTGCTTCAATCTGTGCTTGTTCATTCAAGGCACCTGCTTCAATCTGTGCTTGTTCATTCAAGCCACCTGCTTCATAACAAACAACCCTCCAATGTCTGCCGGTGTTTTTTTCCATAGGCCGGCCGGTCGATTTGGCTGGGGCCCCCTTCTGTTGAAACTGCACCTAACGGCCAGACTGAGGGCTGGAACCTGCAACCGGCTCTCGCCCAAAAAACCAAAAAACAGGTCGAAATCCATCGCCCTCTGTGAATGGTTTCGGATTCGAACTCCATGCGTCGCGATCGCACTTTGAAACCCATGGTCGGAACCATTTGTCGGTATACGGTTGGTACCAGGGCTGTGGGAAATGGAATCCACTCTGTTACAAAAAGGGCCCAAAGACCAAGCCCAAAAATATAAAGAGGGGATTCCCAAAAGTATCACAGAGGGATAAACCCCTTCCCACAACGGTTGGTACGCTTGGGGAACCATGAGCATGGGAACTGTTGCTATACCTTGGGTCCCGAATCGAATCCTTCCGGGGTGAGGTGGACTTTGAAACCCGGGTTGAACCCAGACCGCTTCTTGGCACTGGAGTCGAAGCATTCCGACGCTGCGAAGATTTCGTCCGTGGTCATGTAAACGTCTATGTTTGCTACAGATTCGCTGGGTGTTCGGGGAAGACTCCATCAACTGGGTTTGCTTTGCATTGAGGCACATCCACATGGAAACATGTATTTACTAAATAGGGCCCCCTCAACGAACACCTTCTCTCCACTAAAGCCACGGACAATTTTACTTGTTTCATCTTGTTTCCTGAAAAGGACATGGGACGTGTTTGTTGTTGGCCCCCAGTTTTTGTGCAAAATGTGGGTCCACCCATGCTGTCCGAATCCAAAATGATACTTGGTGATACCACTACTGTCAGCGACTCGCATGAGGGGCTGTCAAAAGTACCAAAAGGGGCATCAAAATTTGCCACACCCCTGATCAACGTTCGGTTCGGCCCCGAAATGACCATGAGTGACTTTTCCCATTTCTGGGTTGACATATCCATTCTTTTTTGGTGGCTTTCCAACCAATGATCATCCCATGCTCATCGGACCTTCCTAAACAGGCAGGGTACTTAGTCAAAGGTTAGTAAGCCTGGTTGTAACCCACAAAAGCCGTGGTTATAAGTCTCCGTTCAGTGGGTTCAAACCAGCCTACAAGCAAAATAAATCGAGCTCGCGGTAGATTTGCGATCCCAACGAACAATTGGAATACTGCAGGTTTTCCGAGGACAACACAACCACTGTTGTCGGGGATACCAAAGAAACCCCTCGGTTTCTCAAACTAAGTACCCGATCGCCCCTTTAAGTTTCGATCAACTCCCACAGAAGCCCCCCTCCCCCCCTCCCCACCCCTCCCCCCTCCCAGCCGAAGCTGAAAAAATCGCAGCTCCGGCCTTGGGCAAGATCCTGAGGTCCAGCAAGGGGAAGTGCAGATGCCCGCCGCCGTCGCTCTGGAGAGATGGCGCACGGATGGCATGGCCCATGGACCCCGTGCAAGGATGGACCAAAGCTCTGGGTGAATTATCATATTTCACCAACCTGAAATAAGGTGGTTGGGGGGTTATTCCTCACATAAGCCACCATTTGGGGTGAATTCGGTCGTGTGAGGTCGTTATAATTCACCATATTCACCCAAGCTTGCTGGTGCCCGAGGGAATGAGTTGGCATGCCGAGATCAACGATCCAACTGGCGGCTTCCATTCAGGGCAGAGGTTCACGGACAAGCCGCCGTGCGTGGACCAGTTTCTTGGTTCGATTAGGGGCCCTCAGAAATGGAACGCCCCAGAAAAAACCGCCAGCCTTGCCGGCGGTTTTTCCTTTGCGAAAAATCCCCAAACAAATTAATTCCCCAAACACGGGATTTTGTCATTCCCTACTGAGCACCAGCAAGAGAAAGGAAAACCAGGAGTATTGCAGCTTGGCTCCCTGGAAAAAGTAGAAGACGATTCCAGTAGTGAAATCGATTCCCTTTAAAACCAGCAAGGGGAAATAAGACATATTCGTAGGCAAATGGAAGTCCAATAAACTTGCGGGTAAATTACTGTAGCTCATGGTCATTCTTTGGTAGTTGATGTTTGCCAATGACCCCCCGGTGGAAAAACAAAATGGTGTCGCTGGAGGTTTGAACTAGCAGACACCCCACATGGATGGTTGGGTTCTTCACGTTTCTTTTGCAGTACTGTCCAACGATTGGGTCACGAGTCTTGGGTGAACAAAAGGATCCCTGGCAAGGTCGGGGAAATCACAGCTGGAACGGTAATTGTTGACATGCATTGTCTAAGGCGCAGCTCATGTCATTTTGCACATGAGATGGCCAGCTCTTGACAAGCGCCATGGCTTAAACACTAGACAACTACTAACTCCTTGACCAGAAACATACGACACTCACCTGCCACTATAGCTCCTACCCCACCCTTGGAGAGGACATCAGCAAGGTTTGGCGGCTCTTTTTGGCTGGCTTTTACTGTTTGCTTCGTCTCGTTGCTTCAGCCAACCCCGGCTGCGATTGAACCATATTGAAGCCATTGTAGCGAGTTGGATCCCACAAGCTACAAGCATGGCCGCCTCACGCAAATTGCACCTGAGAACAACTCGAGCGAGCCGTGACAATGGCGGACTTGGCCGCAAATCTTGGCCGCAAATCGAAGGCACAAGCGACAAGTCTGTCGCAACTGACAACCACGGTGACTTCCCGTCTATTACGCAAGGTGCCAATCAATATGTCAGACTTCTCGAAAACCATGGCCCCTTCAGTGGAAGCAACGGCCCGCCTCCGGCACACTGGACCTCAGAAAGCGCATTCCCATTGCATCTGTGCACCTGCAATAATGTTAACCCCGGATTCTGCTGTCCGGAGCCCAATTCCCATAGTTTCAGCCCTCATTTGGTGAAGCTAAGGATCCTTGGAAGGACCAGTTTTGATTACGCTTAACACGCAAGCAGCCACACGGCCAGGACAAACATGAAGTTGATCACCCAACATCCCAAACAGCCGAGCTATACTAAGTAGCAAGTCGTGCCACCAACGGTGGCGAGCACATAGCTGTCTGGTTTGTCACATTCGGTCATTGCCCGCTTTCCCACAATCCCGGAAGTGGACAGGAGGGTGTTGGAAGACAACCATCCTCTTAGATAGACCTCTTGTCCGCTCACTTCCATAATTGTTGAAAAGAGGGTACTCCTTCAGCTAGGTCCTCCAGTAGAGAGGTTGGAATAAGGGTACCCTTTTTCTGTAGTCAATTTTAGTAGGGGAACCCTCCCCCCAAAAAAGGGTTTTCACTGGGGGACCTAGTCAGTGTTGCGCTTGACTACTCCTTTACATGGTCCACCCTGCAAATACCAGTTTCTGGGCCGCGTGGCACAAAGACCAGCAGTGTCTGCACGCGCTGCTCGCCATTGAAGGAGCCAAGCCTTGAGCACGTGCGGAAGATCGCCCGGACGCGTGCTGCTTTCCATCAACCGGATCTTCAAACCAAAAGACACGCTTAGCGAAACTCGGACAAGTGGACCCTTGCAGATGTGTGTGATGTCTAATCGTTGGACCATTGCTGATTGCCTGAACATGCCAAACCCTCTTCTCTTGTTGGTGCTCAGCAGGGGCCCCAGGCCCTGAAAACTGGAATGACCTTGAACCATCCAACTGGTGGGCCCCCCTTTTTTCGGGGACTCAAGCCTGGGCTCAGCTTTCCCAGATTCCCTACCTTGCTGCCAGCAAGCTTTGCAAGGCCTTGTACACCTCGTGTCGAGTGTCGGATGCAACAGAAGTGCCCCTCATTCAGGCGAGGTCTTATCTGGTCACGAGGGCCAAAGTATTGGCCTTCCAAGCTGGAAACTGAGAAAACAGAAACGGATTCGACTTCCAAACGGAGAAAACGGGACAAGTAAAAGATGAACCTTCATGTCCCAAAAAGCTGTGCTGTTTGCTTAAGGAAAAACTGCCACCTGGTGATACAACCTCGGCCAAGTGCCATGGGCCCGAATTGGACTGCTGTGAGGTCCTTCAACAAAAACAAGTTATGATCTCAGCTGCCCAGTGGCCACGGGAAAGACATGGCCATTCTTTTTCGGTTGGTGGAGTTTCAAAGGGAACCCTTCCAAAAAGAAAAGGAAAAAAGGGCGCCAACAAGGGCAGCTGGGCAACTGGGTGATTCTAGAAGTGTAAACTATTTGTACTCATTTAGCCCCTGTAAACGGGGCTGCCCTCAGATCCCTCGCTAAAAGTTAAACTTTTAGTGGGTTAAATTCGGAAATCCAACCACTAAAAAGCTAAAAAGACCTAAAAAGCTAAGGAACCGGATGGCTGGGCTTGCCACCAAGTAAACAGATTTCTTCGCGGAAAAAAGATGAGCCGGTTGATTCTTGCCAACCTTAGAGCCTCGCCTCTCGGGCTCTTGGTGTGTGTCCAGGTGTGCCCTGGCACGTTGCACGGGGTGTTTTCTCCCATGCCACCATAAGCCGATGGCCGACCCAAAAAACCGATTAGTGACATGGTTGCTCAAGTCTTTCTAAGACAGTCTGTCGGATGTAACAAAAGCAAAGCGACCTTCGTGTTGGAAACACTTTGATTGAAAAGACTCTATCGTGCGAGTTGGCAACCTGAGGGCTGATTGGAGAAACTGCTCGGTGAGCAAAACAAGGACCTTTGCTTCCTGGGCAGGTGGCACTTGAGCGTCTGGTGATTCACATGCCAGTACCTTCCCATGATTGGCCTGCCTGCGCTAGGTCACAGTCTCAGAGTCCAAGCATACACTAAAAGCCATGTCAGAGTCTCACAGACTCTGGCATACAAAAGCCACCTCAAGGTCTCCTCAGGACCAACATGTGCACCTGGTGAGCCACTTATATTTTTGACACCTGCGCGGCTTCAACAAGCAAGTCTCTTTGAAAGCTGCTGCTCTGCGCCACGAATCCCACTCATCTCCACGAGCTCCATTCGTGCGAGGCAGCGAGTTTTCATTTTGCTTTGTGTGCGGTGCGGTAAGCGGTGCTCAAGCTCCCGTGTGGTCCCCTCTCATCATAGGGATAACTTGCAATCCAACCCAATTTGTCATGCGGGAGGGGGAAGCTTGCTCATGGTTGAGACTAGGAATGTGCCAGCCATGGCCCTTTCTGCCTGGCTGCTTCCCACAATGACATAGCTTTCTGCCCCAATTCGAAGCTTACGCCTTCACTCATACTGCGGGTGCTTCAAGGTATCTTCCTGTCAAGGGATTTAGGCCATTTCGGCTGTCATGCCAAACCCGAGCTAGATGCCTGGATTTCATGCTCAAAGGCACCAATAGGGAACAAGCAAGGGAGTCAAGCAACTCTGCACGAAGGAGTCACTTTTCATGGCTGAATGCATTGCGCTGGTACTGTGAATGCCTGCGGAAGGCTGTGGATGCACGTGGTTGTTCCAGGCTCCCGATTGAACTCAGCGCTAGCAATTCCAATTAAAATAAAGGCCCAATTCAACTCGGCTATTGCATGCAAACAATTTGCCTTTTTTTTTGCAGGTCCTCCAGTGGAGAGGTTAGAATCAGTTGGTACCAACTTTTGTCTGTCTATTTTAGTCGGGTTCGGAACCCTCCCTCTCCCAACCAAAGAAAGGGGACCTAGGGGGACCGTTACCATAGAAGTGGATGGTCCATGGCACACCAAAGGGTTGCCTTTTAAATGGGCTGCCCGTTTTCAGATCCCCCGCTAAAAGTGAATAAGTTTTAGAAATGGAAATCCAACCACTTAAACACTAAAAGGATCTAAAAAGCTAAGGAACCAGATGCCTGGGAGCCACCAAGTTTTGGTAGCAAGTCTCAGGTCCAACGTTTCAGCCACGAACTCTTCGAAGGGGCGTTTGGGCCGCTTGGCTGCTTACTTAGCCTGTAGGCGCGGCCTCTATGAACATGCCATTGCCCGAACAGCAAAGGGGTACGTCTTTTTCTTGGTTGCTGCAACGCCCCCTATGCAAAACGGGTTCGCTGTTTGTGAGTTTAGTGGAAAACTCGGTCTTTGTGGGTCTCATCCATGGAAAAACCCTTGATTTCAACCAAAAAGTTAAAGTCTAAAGATCCAACCCAATTTGAGTCAAGTTTGTGGAGTTGGTACCCATTTTTGTTGCGGGCTCTTGAAAGGGACATCGGAAACCAGGAAAACCGAAGCCATTTTGGGGGGTTCGGGGTCCCTTAGAAAAAAACACACACCCAAAAGCGAGAACCGAATTCCCAGCATCCTTGACCATATCAACCGGCATGTGCCTGTAGTACTGGCCTGGGACGTACTTCACCAGCTGCAAGGGCTCGATAAACTCTGCCTCCGCCAGCTGGCTCTTGGGCTAGTTAAAGCTACGATCATCCCACCAATCTGGTCTACTTCCCTGTGTCGAAGTCGCCCCCTGCAAAAAGTGAGAAAATACGTTCAGTGATAGATTGCAACTGTAAAACACCAAGAGAGGAACCACTAAATAAGAAAAAAACACATTTGCTGCAGCAAATGAAGTCTAAAGACTGGTTTGTAGGCCCCGGTGCACGTCTCGAGCCTGGGACTTCCCTTTGGCACAAATGTCAGAACCGAAATTTCCCGAAAACGGCGCCATTGCTTCAGATTTCTGCGCTTGGGCTTTGCCTGATCAGGTCAGAACTTGTTTGTCGGTTATTCTCTCAGCCGTGTAAAGAACCACACCTTTGGCCGTTCATATATTGGCGGGCAACCAATTGGCAAAGTAGGCAATGGGACCACTGAACGGCTGCACGTATTTGGATCCAACCAGCTGCGGAAGCCCCCCCCCAGCCCACAGCCATTCATTGCTCGAGTCCCAAAACACAGCCTTTCTTTTGCCAAATTGTCTGCAAAAATGAACATCCGGCCAAACACGTTTTTCTTATCGACAAAATACGTGTGTTATATGGCCAAATACGGGCGAGTAAGGAACATGTCCGAAAAAACAAACCTTACGGGCCAGATTGAGCCGAATTCGCCTTTTGACCAAACAAAAAAGTGGTGTTTCGGGGCTCCTGTGCTACTGAGTTGTAACTCAGACCAGTTCTTAGAAGAGCTGTGGATGGTTGCGAAATCCTCTTTTCGAACCTGAGACACCCGGGAATCCTGAGAAACCCTGGTAAATTCCCAATGGTTTCCTATGGTTTCAAAGTGGTGCAGGATTTCGTCCACCCACAGTAGCTGAAAGCTGGAACATCAAGAAGACAGTGTTCATTCTACAAGAACGGTCTGCTCTCAATACGCGCACCCCAAGCAACAAGTTTGAGCACAGTCAGTCATTCAGCACATGTTTCAACCATGTCAAAGCTATCATGAACGCACTCTGACAAAGGTCTGTTTTAAACGGCCCTATCAACGTTTTCCATAAAGTTTACAGTGCGCAGCATCTCTAGTATCAGGGGGTCCTGCTCAAGATTCACTCAGCCAAAATGCGGCAAACAGTTCTCCGCTCTACGCTGGAAAAAAACGGTCCTTTTCATGCGCAAAAAGATCAATGACCCAATCAACGTTCTGCTTGCTACGCCTACTTTAGGATGTTTCGCAATCTACACTTAAAAACATACAAAGAATAAAAAAGGCGGCACCGATGTATGGCTTGGATGGTCCCTTACTAACCTTCACTTACCCGGGTCGTGATTGTGGCTCACACGTCCCTCTCTCAACCTCTCAACAACCCTTTCAGGGCTGTGGGATATGGAATCCACTTCTGTGATACAACAAGGACCTAACCCCAAAGACTAACCCCCCGTAAGGGGAGGATCCCCGGATCACAGAAGTGGTTGGATAAACGCCTTGTGATCCCACAATCCTGAGGCAACAGCCAACAGCCTGGTGCACCTCAAACCCAGCTCTCTTCAGCGGCGAGGCTGCGTCCGTTTTTCTTCTTTTTTCTCGCGCTTTTCGGCCGCATGCCGCCTCGAATGCTCCGCAAAACCTTCCAGACTTTGGACTGAAACCTGACTCATCATTGCTCAGAACAAACTGGGTTTCGGGCATGACTTGGTTGACGTTGGAAGGGGAGCACAAAATTAAATATTAGCAGTTAAGTGGTGATTTCCCACTAAACCACAATAAGCAAAAATGTAAAGTGTTTCCTAACAACAACCATGATGAGTGGTTTTTGCAGCCTCTGGCTTTCTTAGTACGCAAAAGAATAAATCATGGAAAAGAAGAGACCTGGGAATTACTTTATCGCAGGGCCAAGGGACGGTTGCCGGATGTTGTATTAGGTGTCCGTTTTCATTTTGGGGGCAGAGGGTTGCTGTATTTGGTCCCCGTTGACAAATCGGGTACCGACATTAGACTCCCCCCATCTTTTGTGATCATTGATGTTGACGCAGCAGAGTGCAGCAGTGCTGTCCCGAGGGAAAAGAGCTAGCAAGGTCGATAATAGGACCATGGCTTCTTGATCAACCAATCAGCAGGCTCAATTTCTCAGTTGCCCTCAGATACCCCGGAACTAAAAGGGAATCACCTTTCCGGACCTTTACTAAAAGTGGGAACCCAAAATGGGAAACTGTTTAAGGTCAGATCAGGGCGATTCACTTTGGTTGAAACTGAGAGGTTGGTTGGCCCTCAACCGACTGTCTTCCATTTGCTGAAGCCCCCTGGAAAAAATACAAATATTTCCAGCAGTGATAGATTCCCTTTCAAGCAACAACAGGCGAAAACAACAGTAACAAAATCTTAAGCCAGAGCTCAAAGCGCATGAGGCACGGTACTTGACAACTCAAACCGGCTTCCTTCCATGGCTGTGGAAGCTTCACCAATCAGAGGGTGGCTCAAGAATGCCCTTGATTCTAGTGCTAGCTTCCCCATTCTTCCCAGGGATCCTTCTTTCCAGAAAACCTCCGGAAACCCAGGGAAACGGCCGGTTTTCGAAAAGAAGGATGGTTGGAAAGAATGGGGAATCAACCCTTAGATTGATGTCCTTGAAAAATCCCTCCTTTGGTGCCCTGAAGGCAAACCATATCTTCCAAGTGTCTAATCTTGAGACATACCGGTTGAGAACTCTCTTGCACACATCGTGATTGGACTTGGGATCGCTGAAGCAACGTACACACCTGTACATTCAAAAATACATGATACATATATATATATATATATGATAATAATAATAATAATAATCATAATAATAATAATCATAATAATAATAATACTAATAATAATAATAATAATAATACTAATAATAATAATAATAGTAATAATAATAATAATAATAATAATAATAATAATAATAAATAATAATAATAATAATAATAATAACAATAACAATAACAATAATAATAATAATAATACTAATAATAATAATAATAATAATAATAATAATAATAATAATAATAATAATAATAATAATAATAATAATAATAATATGTATATATATATATTGTTTTACTTACATACAGTGAACTCAGACTCAATAGTGACATACACGATCTACCCTAATTATCTCTATCTTCAACAAAACCACGTGAGTCTGTCTTTTTGTGGGACACTCTTCTTTGGATGGTTTTAAATGGAAACCCTACAGGAAAGAACACATTTTGGGGGTCCAATAAAAAGACACACTTAAATCTCCCTCTCTCAACCTGTCAACAATCCTTTATACATTGGACCATCGAACTAGCGCATCGAACAGCAGACATGTGAAGTACCCACAACTATCCACTAACATGGAACCGAACGTTTCGAGGTCCAGGAACAAAAACACATCTAACCCACGTCCTCACTTGCCCAGTTCGGACCCAGAAATACAAGGTGATCAGCCTTTGGGATCTTGACTGAAGTTTGACCAAAAATGAAGGTCAATGAAGACCAAAAGGTAATGAGGCAATGAGCCAAAGTATTCATTCGGAAAGCAAAAGGTCAAAGGTCAAAAGGTCGATTCATGGGGCAAGTGAGTGTCAGCAGATTTGAAGCCAGCAACCTGACTGGTTGCCTGAGGGATACGGGGAAAAAGCACACACACACACATGGCTGTGGCTCAAAAAACCGGGACCAACATGGAACCCTGGTAAGTGGAAACATGGACCAAAACCTGCGGTTTGCCCCTCCTATTTAATTTTGAGCCACACCCACATCTGATCTTCCGACCCTCCCCCTCTTGAGCTTCGCCGCAAGGGGCTTCGCCGCATCCTAGGCCCAGCGAGCCGCTCCGGCGCCCGCCAGGCGGCGGAGGTCGTGCAGCAGGTTGCTGCTGACCAGCGCCTTCGGCGCAGAACGTCGGTCCAAACCGGTAGAGACTCGGTTGCGTTCTGCTCCCCTGCTAAAAGTTTAACTTTTTGTGGTTTAGTGGAGAACTCATTAGTTGGCAAAAAGTTAAAGTCCTAACAGCCAAGCAAAATGCACCAAAGGAGAGGTTAGAATAAGTTGGTACCAACTGTTTTGAGTAGTCGACTTTAGTAGAGAATAAGGGTGTGGGTGAAAAATAGGGTAACCCCAAAATGGTTTGCCCCCGACTTTTTTCTGTAGTCGATTTTAGTAGGGGAAGCCTCCCAACCAAAAAAGGGGTGAGAAAGGGCACCTAGCTGGGGGACCTAGTGGAAACTATGGGTGTGTCTCAACTCAAACTGCCCAGTGGCCCTTGGAAAAAAATAATCGCCATCCTGTTTGTTGGTTATTTGACTTCAAAGGCAACCCTTCCCAAAAAAAGAAAATAAAAAGACAAAAAAACACTGGGCAACTGGGTCAAAATCGGGGACCCCGTTTTTGCATGGGCACACCCATATCGCCGCTGGGCATGGCAAAGCGAGACATTTGGGCATGTCAAAATGGGAAGCTCCGTGATGCATCGCAGAGGAACCAACAAGAGACCCAAGGTAGATTCAGATCAGGAATCCCGAAAGCTGACTGCCACGTGCTATCCAGCGGGAAGCCAAGTTGCTATTGACCCGGCCTTTTTCCTGAAGCTAACGCCAGCCCACGTTTTCCAACATCTACCGGCCTTGGTCACCCAAGGGAAATCTAAGAGATTTATATTTGTGGCCCCATGAACTTCCTTTGTTGCAATTGAATATTACTTGTTTCTGTCGTCTATTTTAGTAGGGTCCCGAACCCTCCCCACCAAAAAAGAAACGGTAAAAGTTGGCACCAATTGCTGGGGGACCTAGACAACGGCAATGCAACAACGAAAACTCTACTTCGTTGGACTCCACGGTGCATTGGAAGTCAACACGAAAGCATCCTAAGGTGCTACGTCGCCGAAACCCTTTCAGCATCCTATATAAGGCGGAACTCCACATCTTGCCGTCTGCCAGGGGTGTCCTAATTCGAACAATCTGGATAGGGTATCAAGAACATACCTTAACTTTAGGACGCAACAGCGTTCCTTCAAAAGAGGAATTTAAAGTGGAACTGCCCCGGATCAATCCGGAGGGATCCGGTGGCTGTCAACTGAAGTGGGCATTGATGAGATTTGATGAGATTCTGCCTCGTTTAACATCTCTGTAGTAGCTTTCCATGTTAAAATCCACACGAGAGATCCGTGGGCCCAGTCAAACTCGAGCGCTTGGGTCAGCCAGACATGGAACCTTCACCTCCCATGGGACGACGGCATGCCGAGCTGCCAGGGATGCAATGAGCATCAGCAGCAGAAACGCCACTTTGGGCCTCAGGTCGTTGCAACTTCACCTGAAACATGCCCTCCCTCCCACGAACATAGCTGGGCTGCCCGTTTTCAGATCCCCGGTAAAAGTGAACAACTTTTAGTGGGTTGAATTCGGAAACTACCACCACTAAGGCTGACAAGCTTCTGGCATGGCTAGGAGCCACTAACATAGAACCTATGGGAGGGTACCTGAAAGAAACAAATCCTCTTAAACGGACCCGCTGTCAGGTGGCATGCTACTAAGCGTGAAGGTAACCGCCATTCTCACCACCTTCGTGTCTACCACACCTGTCCCTTTCGGGCTTGTCAAACCCACGAACCCCTTGGCCCGCCCAAAACAGGAGAACCAAGCTGCCTGGACTTTGTGCTCCTCTGCCGCAGAGCCATGAGCAACGGCGCAACGCCCCAAAGTAAGGTGACAGGATAGGCACCTGTCAGATGCATCTGGATTTCGGAATCGATCAACAGATCTGATTTAAGGATAAACGTTTATTCCTCAACAAGTGGAACTGTCCTGTGGCTGTTCAGGCAGGAGGGCTCTTCGATTCGCTCGGGAAGGTGTTGGCAAACATTCAACGCAAAACACCGGCTCACATCTTCCATCCTGGTCGCCTTTTAACATGCAATCATTTTGAGCGAGCATGGCAATCGCGGGGCCTGCAGGCTTCCTCGAGCAATATTCACACAGCAAGAGGTTGCTTAGTCACGGGGATTCCCAAACCTTCAGCAAACCTATCGGCCATAGCTTGGGACTAACGTGGGCCTGTTTATCTGTTAGCAAGGGGGCAGGGGCAGGGACTATTGGAGACTATTTATAAACAAACGAGAAGCTATTTGAGACTATTTCTAAATAAACGAGATGCTATTTGAGACTATTTGTAAACAAACAAGACGCTATTTGAGACTATTTATAAATAGAGGACCAGCTGGTGAAACTATTTCTACATGAAAGGGAAACTCCCATAAAAGATCAGCTCTGTGAGATGTTTCTGAGATCCAAGGAAACTATATGTGACTTATATCAAGCGGAACCTGTGTGAAACTGTTTATGAGTCAAAGGGAAAGTGTGCAATGAATGCCCCGTTCAAGTGTGCAATCAAACAACTGGTCCAGGGCCAGGGTCACAGGGGGTCTACGAGTAAACCTGCGTGAATTCAATTGAGTAGCATCTGTGATACGTCCTATTCTCAACTCCCCCTCCTGACCTACTTCAAGGAAAGCACCGTTGAGGGCTAACAACAATTGAAATCACAGTGCAAACAACCAAGGCTGACCCTCCTCATGCACTGCCTGCTGAGGCAAGTTCTTCCTTTATTGGAACAACAGGTCCAGAAGTGCCCCGAGTCTAAAACCATAGCTATAAATAGTGTCGATTGTATGCCTTCCTTCATGCTGAAACAAGGCGCTTGTCTTTGCAAATGCCCAAAAAGTGTTCAGCTTCTGCTTTATAAACAGTCTCAAATAGTTTCTGCGTGTGTGTTTTTACAAATAGTCTCAAACAGTCTGTGGGTGTTTTTTTTTTTATAAATAGTCTCAAATAGTCTTTGGGATGTTTATAAATAGTCTCAAATAGTCTTTGGGATTTTTGTAAATAGTCTCAAATAGTTCCTCCTAGAAAACAGAACTCTGAAATAAACACGCCCACGTTTGTCCTAAGCCATAGCCTTTATGAACAAATATGGACAGCTGCCCCCTCAAAGTAGCCTTAAGTTAGACTTTTCACAAAAATAATGAGGTGCTTTCCCATTGAGGCACGGTGGATGGACCAAAAATCCATTCGCACCTCCTAAAATACAATGGTCGAAACCATAGCAGAATCTTTGTTGATACTGTGGACGGACGAATTCCTGCGCCACAGAAGCCCTGACATGAGAACTCCTTGCAAATACCCAACAATGGTGTCCAATGGGTTCGAAGTGGTGCGAAACGGATTTCGTCCATCCACAGTGCGTTCGGGAATTTCTAACATCATTCCCTTGGGTGTCTGATTGCTGAGCTATGAACATACATCCGCACTGCGGGTGGCCGACCCAGTGGAGAAAAAACATACAAGATGGGGGGTGTCCGTTCTTCAACCACTTGTTGGTTGAAGTTCAAAGGGAAAACCAAAAGGAAAACCATCAAATTGACACCACAAGGGAAACCTAGAGAGCCCTTGTTTGGTTGTTTAACTGGAAACTAGAAGGAAAACCGCCAATTTGAGAGGTCCCCCCGAAATAAATCGACACCCGAATAAATCTTCTAGAGTCACGGCCAGCACTCAAACGCATTCGAAAGGTCAACGCCTGCGAACATTTTGCGTGCGTTTCCACCTGCAAAGTCGATGGCTCCGAAGAAGGCGCTGCCAGGAGCGATGCAGGGCACCAGAGTGGCGAGGCCATAGACCAAGGCCCCACCTACACGGCGATCTTAACACGAGATGTGGGTGTCTTCTTGCCTTTGGTCCGGCACCACTGTGCTGGCTCCTTACTAGAAGAAAAAAAACCTGTGGGGGCGTCTTCTTTTCCGCTGTTTTGCGGTTTCTCGGTTTTGTGGGTGTTTGAAAGACCAAAAGGAAACCCATCATTCTGGGGGATCCCCCCGAAAGGATCGACATGCCCAAGTTTATTCCATGGGACAAGAAAGAAACCGCCCCAAGCCCTTCAAGGTTCACTTCAAGGGGCAGCCGGTGCGTCCATAAAAGCCATGGTTATAAGTCTCCGTTCAGTCGGCTACCACTAAGTCCCCGAGCGCAAAATATCAAGTTTCTGGGAACCTTTCTTGGGATGCCCTGTGGCTTCTGCTCAGGTGTCGTTGCATTTCTTTCATATTTGGCCATGGGGCATAACCTATGGCTCATTTTGGGGTGGATGAACATCCATTTGCCACCTATTTTGATGTTCACCAGGGGTACAGGGTTTTGACTCACAGCCATTTCATGATTGCCAGAATTCCACGGGGTGAGCTGCAATGGCGCAGTAACTGGAAGAACTGAGTGTGACTTCTGCGTTCCCCTTGAGGTTGCCAATTGAAACGGGCCATGGTCTGGTGCTGCAACGTTGTTTGAGACAAACATGTAGAGCAGGGCCAGGTAGAACAAGATCTGTCAATCTGCAAAGGAGCTCTGAGCTCTGGAAAGAAATCCTGGAACATAGAGATAGTTAAAGTTGTACTCACTGCTCATCCGTGAGAATACTCACTTTACTGCGCTGCTCTCAAATCCCCTGCAAAAGTTTAAACTTTAGTGGATTAAGCAGACACCCATCTCGAAGCACTGAACTGTCACGCGCGACTGGGCAGCCGGCGCTGATTTTCATGGAAGAAGGAGCGGAGGGCCAGATTTGTGCCCAGAATGGTGGTCAGAACTGCGCACAGACCTTGGTCCATCATTCCAGAAAAAAAGAAGAAAAAACTCCTTGAGTGGCTAGGCAATTTATTATATAAAAAAACCTCCTTGAGTGGCTAGGCAATGTCTTGTATACAATGCAGAGTACACCCACAAAGCTTGAAGCAAGGATTGCAATGGTCCTAGACATGTCAATACAAACATATGGCCATGGGTCAAAATCCCGTACCCCCAGTGAACATCCCAATCCCCGCTAAAATAGACTAAAATGGGTGGTACACCTACCCCAAAAATGGTACCATTGGTTTTGACACCCAGCCATATACAAACATGATGGTTCACAAACTAAACGTATAGTATACTTAGAAGCCAATGTTTGTTTGGTGAAGGACAAGCATAATGTTAAGAAACTAGATTCTAGAAGCAATGGCTTCCGTGGAAGGAGACTTGGACATGAGGTCTTCCCAGCTCAGGCCACCATCAACCCGAATGTCTCACAGTAGGCCCGGTACGCCCATGCTGGATCTCTTCGAGATTCGTGCCAGCCAGACATGTGCCACATTGAAACAACCCGTTGAGCAAGTTGGCACATGCTCATGACCATGTTTCCATTGACCTGAACAGAAGCAATAATGTTGCCCTTCTCGGCAACGAACACAAAGTGCGCGACCCACAGCCTGAGTTTCCTTTACGGGAGTGCCTTCACGGCTGTTGCACCATCTCGGTCCAGCTCCATGCCTGCATGACCAGCTCCTCTCTAGGAAAACGAGTGCTTGACTCTTTCTCGTTTGGGGGATGGCTTTCTGAGGGCTGTTACCTTTGCCAGGTGTCTGAAAATAATTCCACTGCCGTTGCTGCCTGTTGCCCGTCTGTTGGAGCGCAGTTTGTCTTGCTTCAGTCTCATCGCAGAACACTCTACTTACAGAAGGTAGTGAAGGAACGGCGAGGCTGACTTCTTTTGGTGTTGCAAGCGCGACAACAAACATTAGCTCACATCCAACGCCATAGACAACTGAGTCGTTCAGTCGCTCAAGAATCCTTGGCCGGCTCTGACGTGCGCGAACCGCGTCCTCCACCGGCCTGAGGGTACCCAGCCAATCAACACATTGAAGAAGCGACCGCCGAAGGACTCCGCTACGAAGAAAAACTTGAGTCAAACAAGCAGGGTTGATCCTCCCAAAGTTCAAAGGGATGCACAACACAAACCTCCATCAAACAGCAAGCAGACCGGGCCACTGTTTTTCGAAACCTGTGGTTGTGTACTGTTTTGGAAATGCAAGTTGCTGCAAACCAACCAGGGAAAAAACACTTTTGCAATCACTATTCTCGAGCTTGCTCGGTGATTCCACCTCCAGGTCAAGCCCTGTGGATGGTTGCGAAACCGTGGGAAGCACATTTTTGTTTGTTTCAGCGCCTCCGTTCAGTGGGTTATTTTTTACCAGGCCCACCAAAGAAACCATGGGAAACAATGGCTTGTTGGTATTTGCGGGGGAATCGAATCAGAAACCAGGGTTTCGTGGTGCAGGATTTCGTCCAACTAGGGCCGTAGTCAGAGAAATATTGGAGGCGATGCGATCGGCCTCGGCTGCGACCCCATTAGGCGCGCCGCCCAGTGCCAGCACCGCAGAGCTGATGAAGCCGCCTTGACCTTAGCCCCAAAGAGCCCCTGTCTTATAATTCCCTAAAAATGAAAACGAGGGAGGAAATCTAGTGGACCTGTCCTTTACGTACCTTCCATTTGGTTTAGCCCCCTGTAAAAACAAAAAGACTGTAGTGAAATTGATTTTCTTTAAAATTAATAAACCGAATGGTAGGTACTGTATTTTGCTCTGCTGACTTTTCATCAAGCTGGGTGTGGCAGGCACCCGGGCACCAGGGCACCTGCTTGAAGGCTTCAGCCCATCGGGCTGTGCCAAGTACAGCACTTCACTTGCCCTTGCAACCAGCGTGCAGCACTTTGTTTAATTGTCTACTCAAAAAAATCCATTGTTGAAACGAAACCATTTTAATATTATTTAATTCCCTTTGTTGAAACGAACATTCTTTTCATTGTCGTACCCTCTACTCAATAACATATATATATATAAATGCTACCACAGAAACAAACATTCTTTGAATTGTCCTATCCTCTACTCAATAATGTAAAATTGCCACCACAGAAGGCACGGTGGTGGTGGGTGAGGTTAGGTGTATATGGATGTCTTGTTCCTAAGTCCAATAATGGCCTGTAGTCTACTAGTAGTAGTTTTCTACATAAGAGCAACAGGTCCTTGCCAACTGAAGGCCCTTTGCTTTGGGAAACACAAACATGTTGCACGTGTTGGCCCCCACTGGGGTTAAGCTTGGCAACTGGGTCAGGCGTCAACATGCTGCAATCCAAGTCCGTCCTTGGAACAAAACACAACATGTGTATATACAGTACCCGTATGTGTATCAAGTCGCATAAATTAACAAGGCAGCTTGTCATTGATCATGATAATACAACAATGATCATGATGACATACGATGATAATGCTAGTGATAAGAACTATTAACAACATTCTTTGGTAAGTAGTGTCATTCTGTATGTAGCCTTGTGCGTCATTGAGAGCCAAAACATGTTGTTTGGCTATGCACTGATACCACCAATAAAACAACGCATGCAATCTCATGGACTCGGCGCATGTCTGTGTTTGCAAAAACTGTTCCTGGCTTGATCTATGAGTCTTCGAGTCACACCTTTATGCGGGACAGCACAAATTGTGCCTCATGTATATGTATATATATATATATATACACGCGTAGCACCTCTATGTATGTATATCATATGACACAATACGTATACGCATACACATGCTTACACATGCACATGCATATACACATCCAAATACATATGCACATACACATGCACATACATGTACACACATGTACAGGGACATATTAATCCACACATATACCCATCTACATATAAAACTTATCATAAATATGTGTATATATATATATACACATACATATATACAAGCGTATATATAACTATTGAATCACACAATAAATAACTGCATAAAAACAAAAAACAAGTCAACGAATAAGTTTAAAACAGATAAAACAAAAAAAGAAGAACACACATATACATAAAATATAACTAAATACATAATATAAACAAACAAGCACAACAAATATAAATAAACACATAAACAACTAAACAACAAATAAATGCATAAATAAATAAACAAGTAAAACAACAAATAAATACATAATTAAACAAATACACAAGACAAGCAAATACACATACACACATAAACACATAAACAAGTACAACAAACAAATAAGTACAAATAAATAACTATATAAAAACTATATAAAACACATAAATAACTATATAAATACATAAGTCAATAGCCATATATATATATATAACTATATAAATACATAAATAAATAACTATAAATATATATATATATACATATCATATACAAACACCTAGCCACTCTGGCCCCGCTTCCTGCGCCTTAGGCGCCCCCACCGAGCAGCACCGCCACCGGATCGCGGCGCAGGCCGCCGAGAGCGTCTGGCACCAGGGCGAGGCCCAGGGCCGACCAGGCGGCCTCCACCACCAAGAGCAAGGCCTTGGGTCGATCTGCTGGTGCTCCGCTGGGTAGGGGAGGGGTGGATCGTCGCTTTTTTAGGCGACCCCCAACAGGCTTCTTTAGACCCCCCCCAAAATGGTGGTTGGCCGTTTGGCTTCAGGGCAAGTAACAAGGAAAACACATAGTAAGCTATGGGGTTGATCAAAAGGTCGCATGAACATGGGATGCCATTGCCTGGAAAACCACCAAAAAAATACTTACCCATGCGCATTGGGTCAGGAATATTAGTCAACCACCTGTCAAATCTCAGTTTCTTTGGCCGGTTGGGTCATGGTTCAAACAACATAGAAAACATTGTACCTACCAAGTGGATGACCATCCGTCTTAAAACCAAGTAAAGGTGTCTGTTGACGATGTCACACTTGAGCGTTGGTGGTGCAGAGCATATGGATGTGTATTAAAATTTGGGGACCCCCAAAAATGGAAGGTTTCCCTTCTTGGTTTCCATTAAACCAACCCCAAAAGGGGTACCATCAGATAAAGACACACCTATATATATAATATACTCAGTTTCTCTCCAATTGGTGGTTTGCATTGGTGGTTTGGTGGCTAAAGATCCCCGAACCACTATTCCAAACTCCCAACTAAAGGATTCCTGATTCATTTGACTAAATCCGCTGCTCACATGAGATATTGACAGGGTTGAAAGATCTCATCGGTTCTTTGTGCCTAATTAAAAAACAAACTCAGGGGCTCCTTGCCACGGCAACCGTTCATCATGAGGCTCCGAGCAGCTGCGGTTGACTTCGTGATATTTGTGATGCCTTTCGCGCAAAGGTTGGCACGGGGACCACCATTGGAACAACAAAAACATGTTGTTGTAAGTGCTTTAAGACACAACTGGTGGACGACATTGGTTGGGGGGACGACATGTCAGGAATCGCTCGGCGGTGAGGCTTTTGGCCAGAACCTCATTCTTCAGGCCTCTTTCCCACATGGAAACACACGGCATCTAGACATGTGGGAGTGTCTTTTTTTTGGTACTCAGTTTTTGGTGGTTTAACGGAATCCCAAAGGAAGCCATTTCGGGGAGTCCCCCAAAACAAGATCCTTCTGGTCTGTTTCTCACTGATGACAGCAAACCCCAAGTATCAATCCCATGGCATATCAATTCCCTGAGCCTTTCTGTCTCGGATCTTAAGCAAAAATGTCATGTCCACCGCTCAGCAGCAAGGGCCCTGATTGAATTCTTCTGAAGCCAGGGCCGCCAGTCCCATTCATCAACCACCTTCTTGACCTATGCCCCTGAATTTATCCTGGTTCCCTGTACTAGTGGTCGCAACTGTTAGTTTGGAGGTACAGTTGTTATGCAATCCAAGTTACATTCGCAGTACTTTTACATATGTCTGGGGATGCAACCCTAATTTTGCCAAACTCAAGCGCATTTTGATACGATGCTCATAGAAGGAAGTTGCTCCCGTGGTAGCTATGAAGCAATCAGCTCTGACATGGCACAGAAGCTGCGCTTCATCTGAATGTATGCCCGCAGAAGACTTAAGAGAAGCAATCATTTGCACGCTCCGGGAATTGCACACATCACATTCTCATATTGGCACCAATAGAAAACGGGAAGCTCCAGGCTGTGGCAAGGTGGCTGCATCGCATTGGCTGGACGGCAGTTCTCAGAGGTACCGCTAGGTCCTCCAGTAGAGAGGTTAGAATAAGGGTACCCTTTTTTCTGTAGTCTATTTTAGTAGGGGACCCCTCCCCAAAAAAAGGGTAAAAGGGCACTTAGCTGGGGGACCTAGACTGGTAAGCAGAAGAAACACCAACCCACAGCCTGAAAAATGAAACCGTCGGCCACTCTGGCGCCCCAGCCAAGAATCCGAGCCGAGGAAGATGGCGCGCTTCATGCGGCAGGGCTGCCGAAGCATCGACTGCGTGGTGGGGATCACTTCGCAGTAGACGAAGAGCTGCAGAATGGTCGGGCTGGGCGTGAGACATGCGGAAGCAAGACTTGGTCCTCCGGATTTGAGAGGTTAGAGTAAGGGTACCAACTTTTTCTTGTAGTCTATTTTAGTAGGGGAACTCTCCCCCAAAAAAGGGGTGATAAAGGGCACTACTGGGGCACCCAGCAGATCGCCGCCAGAGAGTTTTCCGGGATCCCTCGTCTTCGTGTAGTTTTACGCTTGCGGGGCAACTGCCCCCAATAAGGGAATCTACATGGTGCGCTGTGACACGAAGCAGAGTAAGATCAACAAGTCAGACTAAAGCAGAGGTCTGAAGTGGGCACAAGTAGGAGATGAGCACCATGTGTTGCTGGGGCAGTAAGGGAAACAACAGAACCAAAGGACACATGTACAAGAGCCAAGCTGAAGACAGTCAGTGAGTAGAATGGGGTAGTGGTTCTGACGACTTTCAGTAAGAAACACCCAGAATGGACAATTCCTGCTGCTAGTGATTCCACTGACTTTGAATGAGACACACCAATTGACTAATCATGTACATGCCACACCACTTGCAACAATCCAATAAGGCTTGAGCAGGGCGAGAACAAAGCATGCAACAGGCACGCAGGCACCGATTCCAAAACCGATGACACATACGATTAGCGGACGTAAGAGCAGCAACTAGAAATTAGAACCCGCAGTCCCAGTTTATTCCAGAGCTGACCAGGCAAAAGAACTGGAGAAGAAGCTGTCATTACCTCTGCTGCCAATCATCCTGAGGGATTTGACAAACATCTTCGTAGATTGAGCCCAGCCAAGCCAAGGCATTTTGGGGCGACTCAAAGTAACCAGGCACAAACAAACATGTGAGCTGCCATTAACTATAGCCGGACGAAATAGAATAGCGATCGCAAATCCAGCATGCCCCAAGATCCAGAGAATGAGCAATCCGGGCCAAAACTGATTTGCGGCGCTCAGCCACTCAGCCACTCAGCCACTCAGCCACTCAGCCACTCAGCCACTGAGCCACTTGGAGTGGCTAACCCCCATTGCCAGAATATGAGCAAGCCCATCTCAGACCCCCCCCCCCCCGGCGACTCAAAGTGGCCCCACAATTTGCAACTTGAGCCACTTTTGACGACAAAAAAGTAGCGGCAAAGCAATGACCTTGAAGATCTTCATTGTTCATCTTGCTCTTGGCTGTGATTCAAGCCCGCTCCTTGAAAAATGCCTGCTCCACGCCTGAGCCCGTCCCCCCCCAACCCCCCGCCCCCTGCTTGCACGCTTGCAGCTGCGGCGCAAGCACCTCCCGCAGCCGCTCCTGGGCTTCACGTGCAGCCTTTGGCTGTCACCGTGGCTATTGAGTCCAGTTCCCTGTATCTTGGTGGTTCCAAGCAGGGAATCCTAAGTCTAAGTAGGTTCAAACTAGTCTTGCTGACCACTTACAGGGCTCCCTATATTTCCCCTTAAAACATCACCCCCACCAAGGGACACTTCATGGGCCAAAAAGGTGATGCTAAAAACCACCAAAAAGGGGAAACATAGGGACCCCTGACTTACTAAGTACCCTACCCCTTCAAGTAAAGCTCTGGGAGGCTTTCCTCGGGGTCCTTCAGCTTCCTCTCGACTTACCTTGCCTTGCTGCTTCGATAGGCAGGGGCCCTGAGAAATGGAACGACCCCGAGAAAAGCCATCCCCGATCTGGCTTCCTTTAAGGGAATCCCCAAAACGGTTCACCAACACGCGGAAGGTGATTCATTCCCTATTGAGCACCAGCAAGGTATTGGCAGCCACCCTTTAAAACAAAAAAAAAAAAAAAACAGGTGAAAATGGCAGCAGCGGGGCTCTGGGCTCGGCAATGCGAAAGGTTGCACGAAACAGCAACAGCTGTAGGTGCCAAGTTTGATGGGGCAGCGCATTAAGATGAATGGCAGAGAGTGACCCTCTCGGAACGGCTAACTGCACTGCCTTCGGATTTTCTCAGGGCCTTCGGCCTTGGGACATTCACCTCGGGTGTGCCGGCTCTCCTTGACAAGGCCTAGAACCTTCAGCAGGTTCATGCAAGAAAGGCGTGCTGATTTCTGGGCGCAGGCTCTCGTTGAGAAACGCCAATAGGAAGGAACAGGCAAAGCATGAAGCTGTTCAGTGGGCATTGGTTCGCCTTTGCAAAGGCTGTTGCGAACATTCCGGGAGCCAGTCGACTGGTCGACTGAGACCCCCAGCTTGACAGCTCAAGAAATGTTACGCAGGGCGAGTTGGCGGCCGGCCCTGCCGAGGAAACTTGAAAATCATACTCATTGTTGCAACTAGGACAACGCCCTTAGATTCTGCACGAAACTCGAAGTGTTCAAAACAATCAAGGTCACTATGCGGTGCTGGTGGGACTGGGAATGTTCTTGAGGGCCTTTGCGGGAGGAATGCCATGATTGGTGTTTGCCTGGCTTGCTGTTCAAAAAGCGAAGCGCAACGCGCAAGCGGGTCTGTCTGCTGCCCATGAAACTGCTCACATAGGCAAAATACACTAATTGTCATCCTCCAAACCAAACCAGCAATTGCGGGCCCATACACCCATCAAGGAACTGGCCTCCCATTCTCTCAAAAGCAGATTCCAGGTTCAACCGAAACGTCCTATATGACCTGGCTGAATCATGATGCACCAACCGTGCCAGTCCAAGGTAAGTCAAGACCCAAGGAATCAATATGATAAAACTTAACCATTCACCGACCAAACCATGAGGGGAACCTACAAAAGGAACCTCCATCCTTGGTTGCCGTTGACCCCTCCGCGAAAAGTGAACAACTTTGTGTGGGTCCAATGGACAATCAGAACAGTTGTCCAAAACGTCAAAGTGCAAAGATCCGGTCCCAACTAGCATAAACAATTTGACCAGCTGAGTTCACATGGCAACAGTTTTCAAACTTGTTGGGCCAGAAAGAAAACCGCTGCGCTCTGCGCGAGACCGCAGTCAAAAATGTGACGCGCTTGAAACTTGCGAGCTCCCGCTGGGCCCTCCGGCCATTCGCTTCGGTTCAGGCGGTGCCACTGAGCGAGCGGCAAGCCACGTGCAAACAGCAGCGTGCCGGCAAGCAGAAAGCCCAGCCTGGAGCTCCGTGATTCTTAAGGTCTCACTGCCTGGGTGGCCAAAACAAGTAACCAAACTCTTCATTTGCCACTATGGTCCAAGAACTCGGGAAGTAAGAGGCGGGTCATTTCTATGGAGAGAGGCCGTGTTTATGCGATAATATGTGCTTTAGTGAAATGGGAAGGGGAAGAACTGGGTGTCACATGCCAGAGTCACCTTTTCTTTGAACTTGATTGAACTCGCACAGTTTACGCCAGTTGAGGGGGCTTCAAAACAGCTTTGGCTGAGCGCATAGGTATGGCTACGGTTGCTATCCACGCTTGACATCTGGAAAAATGATTGGCTGGGTAAGCGACCCTCAGTTCACACTATCTGAGCTTTCCTTCTCAAGAAGCACATTGGTCTTCATCAAAGCTCCTCAAGACGAGAACGGCCAATAACTGGAGTGTTGGGATGTATTGAGGTCCACGTACGCAAGGCCGGGCAAGTCATGCCGGACAAGTCATGCAGGAGAAATGAGTATACTGTCAGTATACTGGCCTATCAAAAAGTTCATCTGGAAAAAAACATGTGCATACATGAAATGAACGTGAGCCCTGTTGTAGCCGAAATTACTCTCCTACCCACCACGTGAAACCTACCGCAAGGTCCTTTTTGGAGGAACATGGTCATTCAGGAGCCTCCAACCAGGGTCCGCGCTCTGATCCTCAGCCCTTGCTAAGTGGCTGTGGCTCAACAAAAATGGAATTCCCCAAAAATGCCACCTTGGCAGATAGAAACAGAGACGAACACTTGCGGTTTGCCCCAGCTCAATTTTGAGCCACACCGAAGTGCTGTGTTGGAACAACAATCGCACCCAATGAGGCAGCTTGCACTTTATAGACGACCCAAACACGTGCGACTCATGCCACCCCGAATGGGGAAACTTGATGGGATTGGTCCTACGGAGATTGAGGGGTCCCTCCCACTCCGTTCACATGAAGTCATTTCCTCCACTTGGGAAGGGCCCCTCTGTAACATCATGTACAATGGTTTTGACCCAAAGCCACATGGCGGAAGGAGTAAGGCAAGGAGTAAGGCTACAATTGACACGCCTGCCAGAACTCGGAAAGGAAGTGGCTAGAGGGCGTCTGTGCCGGGCAGCGTCAAGCAGCTGTTCAGCGTGGCAGTGCGCGCGACGGCACATCTCCAGGTGAAAGTCGCCAACAGCAGGGCCAGGAATGTGCCTGAGATTAGGATTGATTGGCTCGTGATCAAAGCCTTGAACAAAGGGATTCGCAATGAGTGAACGCAATGATTTATCGGTCATCATGTATATTGTGGTTGGAAATTACACAACGAAGGGTCCGGCCTGCCTGAGATGACCCAACGTTCACCAGTCGATTCGATCTAGTCGAGTGGCCGAATGAAGCATTCTTCCTCAATGTCAAACTAGCGACCCGCTATCCCACACACACACACACACACGCGCGCAAAAATATATTTATAGACGTACAGGCAACAAAGGGAAGCCTCCTCCTCCTCATCATCATGCTCCCCTCCTTCTCCTCCTCTCATCATCATCATCATCATCATCATCATCATCGATAGTGAACACAACACAGAATCAGGGTACCACGCGCCTCTGGTCCTTGCGCGTTCACTCATCTGCTTGGCCCAGGACCCACAGAAACGTGTTTGATGACACTCTCTCCTCCAGCAAGGTGTGGCACCTTCACTTCTCTGCTTAAAGGGGCAGGGGACTTAGAAAGTAATTAGTAAGCCTGGTTATAACTCACTTAGGAGACTTAAACTTATAACCATGGAAAGTGGGCTATAACCAGGCTTACTAACCACCTATTAATAAGTCCCCTGCCCCTGTAAGTGGTATGTACCCTAGCCGGATTGGCTGCCCCAAGCTTCGGCTGAGATGCGCAAGGGCGCTTGCGGCAGACCGGTCAGTGAAGAAAGCAGCTTGCCTGCCTCAGCATACTGCGACACAAGGGTCGTCATCATCAGCAGCAAAAAGAGCGCCGACACGGTCAGCTTACCTGGGATGTCAACGAGGATTGCTCGGTGAAGGCTTGGATGTTACCATGGGTCCAAGAAAACCTAAGTTGTTTTGCTTGCTTAATCATTCAACGCATTTCAACTTCCTTGCTGTATCAAAAAACATCTGGGGCTCCCCATGCCGCCACTTCTTGAGAGGAGCAACAAGCGGCCACAAATGTCTTTTGACCAAACGTGTGTCTCTGGCTGCACTGAATCGGACGCTAGGGATGCTGGCTGAGTTGATGTTGGCGACGCCAAACCATGCCTGCCAATAGAGTGCTGGCATGTCTGCGTGCGTCTCCATGCGCGGGGTCCGCATGCTGGTTGGTGTTACAAGTGCTGGGAAAGGGTCGGGTGCTGGTGTTCAGGTTTATGGGGACTTGTAAAACAAACAAGACAATTGGGTTTGAATCAAATCCCAATGCAGCTTTTTCCAGATACCGCACGGGCACCCGGAACAGGCTTTCGTCAGGTCGTGCTTGTTGCGGCTCGTTCGCCGCTGCGCCGACGAAATTGAGTGGCGAGTTCAAGGTGCAGATGGGCGATGCTTTGGCGCTGCTCCGAGTATTGGTGGGGGCGGTAGTGCTAGTGGGTGCGTGCAAAAGACCGAAGTCAGACTTTGGCACCTCGTCAAAAACCGGCGTAATTCAAGAAACTCTGCAAAACGTAAAAGCTTCTCGGTGTACCTTTTCCGGTTTGCCTGGTCATTTGGATTGTCATCCAGAAGTTGAAGGATGTAGATAGATGCTATCCTCATAATTACGACAAGTTGAGGACCAAAAAAGGCATTCAGCAAAAGCACTTCAGCCTGCAACTTACCAAGCAATAGTCAGTACATGTAAACCAGGCGTCTAACGTGCAAGCACGGAAAGCGATCAAAACCTTGAGCTCACTTAAGTGGACTGGCCAGCCACACTAAAATGTGTTTTGCAAAAAAACTTGGCTGCCCTCAGATGCCCCGCTAAAGGCTTAGCTTTTAGTGGGTTAAATGGAAAGTACCACTAAACACTAAATGGCTAGAAGGCTAAGGGGATGGCTGGGAGCCACCAAGAAAAGTATAAAGTTCGTGAACTCAGGAAGTGAGTCAGTGCCTAGGTCCTCCAGTAGAGAGGTTTGCATAAGGGTACCAACTTTTTTCTGTAGTCTATTTTAGTAGGGGAATCCTACCCAAAAACAAAGGTAACAGGGCACTACCGGGGGACCTAGGTGCGCATCCGACAGACACCTAAAATTTGAAAGCCTGCAGAAAGCACGTACCGCAGGGCTTCTACTTCTACCTCAAGATCAGTGCCAACAAGTCGCTAAGAATTGACAATGACCGCTTCTGATTTGTTCGAGCGTGTTCTGCCCGACCGTTTTGGAAACAAAAAATGCTTCCCAACGGCAACCAAGCAAATCTCATGTATTGACAGCATCTCGGCAAGGGACCTTGACATCCCCAGTTGAGCATCTCCCAGGGCCAGACCCGCACGGCCGCGGTTCACGCTTAGGTGTTGTTGCTTTTTCTACCATCTGTGCTTTGCTGCAGGGGTGATTCCCGAGGTAGGGTCCGGCCGAAAGTTGATACTTGTTTGCTTGTTCATCGTGAAGCCCGCACTCTTCGTGTGAGTGGAAGAGAGCTCTGGCACGGTATGCCCAAATGTTGCGAGTCACGGGCCTCGACAATGCAATATCTTCCCACAACTTAGATCCCTTGCTGCTTGCCCAAACTTGGTGCAGTCCGCAGGCTTTCGAGCTCTCCAGTGACCCCGGCAGAACAAAATAAAACAAGAAGGGGGGTCCCCTTGTTGTTGCTTTTTTTTGTGGGGGATGGGATTTTGGGGGAGCCGAACGAACAGGGCTAGCCTTCCTTCAACTAACATGGCACCTGTGGTGAGGTACCTTGAAGATAAAGCTCCTTTTGAAGGAACCCCCTGTCAGTTGCCATGTGGGAGGGAGGGTAAAACCCTAAGACAGAGGCGCCCCAGCGCCCCAACCGCCGCTCCGCCAGAGCTTGGAAGCTGACCTCGATCCAGCAGGTGATCGAAGGGGCGGGCCGGTTCGACCCCGTTCTTTCGGTTTGGCTCAGGGAACCACCAACTGGGCTGCCCGTTTTCAGATCCCTCGCGAAAAGTGCAACTTTTCGTGGGTTAAATGGACATCCAACCACTAAACACTAAAAAGCTAAACTGCTGAAAAGCTAAGGGGATGGCTGGGAGCCACCAAGCAAACAGGCAGGTAGAACCTAGAGGTGAGAAACCCTGGTCCACTACACTCAGAACCGGAAGCACAAGAGGAGGGGGAGGACAGATCTGCAAAAACACGTTGCTTTTTGGCGGAACATGTTTGGGGGACCTTCCAAAACCGGTTGATCGTGCCGGAATTGGTAAGGTTGTAAGGTTTGGATTGCTTAGTCGTGGTAGTTTGAAGCAGGTGCCGCAATCCAAGCTCGCCCTTCTGCTCGATGTTGGAGGCCTTGTCCGGGTTCAAGTTTGGGATCAATCCCCAGTTGTTACAGCCAAGCTGGAAGGCACTTTTTGCCTCCACACCATTGCAGAGTAGCCTGACTTGGGGCATGAGCTCATGTTGCGGAACGCCCGTCCATCGAGTACCTTTTTGGACTAACCCATAACCAAGGACCATTGGAGGAATCAGGTAGGGTCCTCAACTTGGTGCAGGCGAATCATGTCGCTTGAACAAATATATATTGAATACTGTTCACTGGTGAACCAACATGCAAGCAAACTGAAAAAAAAGACCCCCCCCCCCCAAAAAAAAAAAAACGGAAGAAGCTGTGTGGAGAGGCCCTCATGTTCAACTACCTGACACCGCTCTGCAAGTCACCCTTTCAACTGATTGCCGCGGGGGACTCCAAAGCTTCTACCCGTGACCGGGAGAAGCGCAACATGGCCGTCCGCAAACGAATGGTTTTTTGATACTGTGGATGGACGAAATCCACTTCGCACCACTTCGACACCAATGAAAACCATAACGCTCGTTGGTATTTGCAGGGGAATCGAATCAAACCAGGCTTTCTGAGGTGGTGCGAAATGGATTTCGTCCATCCACAGTATGGCAACGATTCCCCTCGGGTTTCTTTTCAAAGGTCGCCGGCACTCAATGTTGAGGTACCCGTCCACGGCAATGAGCAAGCGTGGTTTCAACCCGGGTTTTAAAGTGGTGCGAAATTGATTTCGGAGCCATCCACACTGTCTTAACTTCCATTCGCTTATGCCCCCTGGAAAAAATAAAAACATAATTCCAGTAGTCATAGATTCCCTTTAAATCCAACAGGGGAAAATAAAGCATATTCTTAAGCAAATGGAAGTTAAGCGACGGTCAGGCCACCATTTCGCCATCTGACTCCTCCGCCAGCATGTCTGTCAGCAGCCGCGCCTGCGACAAAACTGTTTGCACAAAGAGCTGAGGGACCGTGACCTGAATCAAAACCCGTGGATGATCTTCCACAAAAATACGGGCGGTTTCACTTTACCCCGAATTGGTGGTTTGCTTTGCTGGTGTGGACGTTAGGAGGTACCTTTCCCAGTTGGTTTCAAAAAGAACTAGGTTCAAATCCCCCAACCACCAATCCAAACTACCTGAACTTTTGGCTTCTTCATCTGGGACCAGGAAAAAAAACAAAAAAACAAGCAGGACTCTGTTTTCAGGATCCTCCTTGCAGCACCCCGGCCTGAAATAGCAGCAGCGCCCAGGAGATCACCATCACCAGAAGCGAGGGCACCTGGAAGACACGACCGTTGCAACCAGTGTTTTCGATAGAAGCTCAGAGGATAACTTTTATTGTTTGTTTTATAAACAAGTAAACATAAACAAAACCACCTTATTATTGTATATACATATATATGTATGTATATATTCTGACCGAATTGGATTACATTGATAACAAAAAACAATAACAACAATAATAATAAACACTGGGAACATCTGGCAAAGTGTGACCCCAGTATCTTACAATGATCAAAGTCACCCCCCAAGTGGTAGGTTCAAGGGAAACAAGCCCCTTTTATGACTTTGATAACCCCCCCCGAAACAGCCAACATAATAACCCCAGTTGTTCGGCATTGACCATTCTTTTGTGGGGAAAACAGCGGAATGGGACGTCCGTAGGTTCAACCCGAGTTCCTCGCAGGGACGCTCAGCTCACTGTCGATGGGTGGCTTGAAGCTTAGGAAGTGGCGCTGTGGGATAAACGGAGCCCGATTTCCGTGAAGCGCCTCACTCACAGCCCCATGTGGAACACTTTTGCACGCTGGAAGAAGCTCGTCAGCGAAACGTTCATGCAGTGTTTGACTGGGTGTCACAAGCTGCGGGTGTTTTTGTTGTCCTTGTCCCCCTTCAACACCACCAAGGTGGCCTCTAATTTGGACACATGTCGCATCCGCGACGAAAAGGCGATTCATGTCCTCGGAGGAAGACATTCTAGGGCCCAGGGTAGAACCCCTGCGGCGAGGTGCCGTGGACTTCTGCGAACCCAGAGTGGTTAGTGGGAGGCTATATGTGGCTGTGGGTCAAACATAGGTACCCAACACGGAATCTGCGGTGCCCTGGTGGTTTAATTTTGACTCACACCCATGTAAAGGACATATTTACACAAATCCAAAAGGGTTCTGCGATGGGAGGGAGGGTTCTACCCTTAGTTCCCCTGACGGAAGGAGCTTCTGACTAGGAGCCCCACGGAATACCATCCAAGGCCCCATCCAAAAAAACAGCACGATTGCCGTCAATGGCAACGCCTTCTTCCAGAGGTTTGATCCCCAAGTGACTCCTCGGTCAACCCTCAATCAACTTCGTTTTCCACCGCTGTAGCGACGGCTAGTAACCAATTAACCTCGCACCCGTAGGAGCAGCTTAACGAGCCAAGACGCAAAACCAGATTGCGCTGTGGTGTAGGGCAATGCCAGGAAGCCACCGCCAATGGCCGTGCCAGTTACCTCATGTCAGCTGCAGTCAACCCGAAAGGTCTCACTTCAGGACTGAGGCAAGAATTGAAGATTTCTTCTCGATTCCGAGTTTTGAGCTGACATGTGGGCCATACTGTCAACATGCGATTAGAAAGGGCACGCGGCGCAAGCCCTGAGATACCTTGGACCTCCACTCCAAGACGACCAAACTCTGCTGTTCTCCCAGGGCTCCCTACCCTTCAGGGAGTCAAGTTTGTGTTACAGGAAAACAACTCGAACACACATTCACGAGAACCCACGCACGGAAGTGATAGAGTTTTTGTTTCGGAAAGACAACTCACAACCCACGCGCGGTAGTGATACATTCAAGTCACAATGAACACACATTCACAAGAACGGCAGTGATAGCGATCGTGTTACAGGAGAACAACTCCAAACGCACACAGGGCAGTTATCGATAATCTTTGTGCTACAGGAGAACAACTCACAATGAAAACGCATTCACGTGAACGCACGCTCGGCAGCGATAGAGTGCGTGCTTCAGGAGAGCATCACAACCCACGCGCGCCAGTGATAAAGTTCGTGTTACAGAAGAATAACTCACAATGAACACCCGCGCACGCCAGTGATACAGTTCGTGCTACAGGAGAACAACTCATAAGGAACACACATTCATGAGAAGCCACACACGACAGTGATAGAACTCGTGTTACATGAGAGCAACTCCTGGCACAATGAACGCACATTCACGAAAACCCACGCACGACAGTGCGAAAGTTCGTGTTACAGGAGAACCGCGCACAATTAATCCACATTCAGGAACACCTGGTAACTACAAAAGAGAGCTCTCACAATATGAGGTTGTTTAAACTGGTGAAATGGAGTGGGAAGAGGCGGTGCAGGATTTCGTGCATCAGCCGTATGACCATTGCCGGCTAAGCGTTCCAAAGAGCAGCGCGTTTTCCCTGCCGAAAAAAGCTGTCGCGGGGCCGCAAGCGGGCGGGCCACAAACCACAAGTCACGAGAGGTCATGCTTAGCCGTTCATCTAGGCACTATATATCCGGGCGAAGAACACCTGACTGTACGAGAATTAATCCCTTCCCCCTTTTAATAAATGGACCCTATTGATAAATACTATTTTTCCCAGACCGCCGGGTCCCCAATACTACTTTTAGAATAGGCCAATTCAAAACCAATACTAAACTCTCGGATTTCTCACCCAGACCAGCCTATGGGTAATTAGTCCAGGACCCAAGCTCCTGGAGTACATTTCCTTGACTACGTTTGTGCTACACAGTTGCGACTTTCGAGCCGGAGCTCCGGGAGCACGTTTCCTTTACTACGGTTGTACTACAAAGTTGCGACTTTCGAGCCGGAGCTCCGGGAGCACGTTTCCTTTACTACGGTTGTACTACAAAGTTGCGACTTTCGAGCCGGAGCTCCGGGAGCACGTTTCCTTTACTACGGTTGTACTACAAAGTTGCGACTTTCGAGCCGGAGCTCCGGGAGCACGTTTCCTTTACTACGGTTGTACTACAAAGTTGCGACTTTCGAGCCGGAGCTCCGGGAGTACGTTTCCTTGTCTCCGGGGGCCCCATCATGATTTACTAATAGGGGGGGGGGCCGGGTTTATTATTAGGGGAAGGGATTATGAAGTTGATCCTTTAGACCTTCAAGTGCTGTCCAAACACAGTAGAAGGTCACAATAAATAAAGGAATATCTGTTCCCGCCTGCTTTCCTTGTTGGGATAGCAACAATTCTGCGCTATTAAGAACCAACTCTACTCTTACAGATAGCCAAACTCAAGTTCAAGTCCAGCCATGCTGCAAGCGCCGCCGCCGCTGCGTCACTCCCCCAGCGAGCATTCCTGCAGTGAAAAAGAGGCAAGGGCTGAGAAATTCAGATAACAAAAACCCTTGGACGGCAGCCTCAGCACGCATGCCAGCGCATCATCTTATACACTATCCTATGTTGCCATCGCTACATGTGGAACTGGCCAACTGGGACCATGAGGATGTTCACTTCTTCATCACCTTGATGATCTTTTTGGAGGCGCGTGCCTTTCCTGCAGGCTTCTTCTGGGATAAGCATGCATACTTCTTGGACTTGGCAGACTTGGTCTGCGCCACATCCTTGAGGTAGGAGGCTTGCCCAAGCAAGAGGGCATCATTGTGTGGCTTTGGGGATGAGCTTGTGGCGAAGCTCCTTCATTTCATTGCATGATGCGGCGTAGTGGCGGACTCAGCTGAGCACCTGCTCGCAGATGTTGCAGCTGACCTTCTTGACAATCTTGCCGAGAGAATGCTTATAGCCCCAGATGCAGATATCAAACGGCACAAAGGAATAACCTCACTAAATACAGGCATCGCGCGGAAGCAACATAGGCATCAGGAGCAAGCACGATCATAGACGAAGCACATGTGGGATGAATTCAGCCAGAGAATCGCCTCGATGGCATGCAGGCTCGTGCATGACGGTCAGGGCTGGAATGCGACCAGACTTAGGGGTCGCAGTACATGCACCATCAATTCGAGCAGTTGCCGACTGTGTCCCTACTGTGCCTGGCTCGGTCGTTTCGCTTCATAGGAGGATCCTCGCAATGTGGATTCAGCTTCAGGCATCCATCACCAGCCTTTCTATTGGTGGGAGCGAAGACACTGGAAGCGCAATGGGCCTGACACACTTTCTCATATGCATGCGAGGCACAGACGACAAGTGACCTCTGAAGAACAACTCTACCTGGTAGCGGATGTGTTTCAAGCTGAAGCACTTCTTGGAGTCGACGAAGAGGATGCCATCAGTGAGGTCGTCAGGGGACAAAACATTAAACTTCTTGCCATTCGCCCAGCGATAGTTATACCCATAGCTGGGGCGGTGGCGGTTCTGGCACTCTTTTCTGCTCGTGAAAAGGTTCCGAGGGGGCCCGCGAGATTGTAGCAACTGGCAGCCTCGAATGACACACTCGCTCAGCGGACAGCTGACCTGCGTACCGAGGACTCCTCGGAGGCAGCAGGCACCACCATGCTCGACCTGGGCTGGAACTGGTGGAAGGTGATGTATTGCAAGAGGTCAGCCAAGGCACCGCTCGTCATGGCCTGTTCCTCCCATGCGACCTCGTGGCCATTCCGCTGTTCCCACGGATGAGCTTCTCAACGTAGTTGCCCTTCACCTTATCCGCCTTGATGTAGTGCTGGCAAGCACACACTTTCCCATTCGTTTGTGGAATTTCGGAAGAACTGCCTGACATACACGGATCAAACCCCCTCAGATGCCTCGAATGACGCATGATCGGTGTGATGACGCCAAACGTGTGCTGGCGAGTCCCTGGAGGTGAGGTGCTCTGTGGCTTCGATTGCACTAGCGACATATCATCTGGGCGAGCCATGAGTGCAATTGAGGGTCACAGATCAGATGCAGAAGAGACTACGTATACAGCTGAGAGAAGCTGCAGATGTAGGGCATGGATGCTCGTAGAGTGACTCGACAAGAGAAAACAAAGACACCGAAAACAAACAAACATACAAAATCAAAACAAAAACAAAAACAATGCCAACACCCAAAAAAACGCGGGTCTTGATTTAATTGTTTTGTGTTTTTGTGTTTCTTCTTTTTTCTTGTTTGTTGTTAATTGTTTGTTGTGTGTGTTTATGGTGTTTTTGTTGTGTGTTGTGTTTTTGTTTGGTCGCCCGCTTCATTTTAACATATATTCCCAAAAACAAAGCACCAACAAAGTGTACTACCACGGTTTCCCCTTCTGCTCTAGATTAACATACCCGCTCTTTTGAAGGGGTTCCATGATGTTGCCATTCACTTTCCCCGAAAGTGATGCAATCCCATTAGCAGGGAATGCCGACGCACCTGGAGTCCCGTCAATTGATCCTGAAGTACGCAATTCCAACGGCGTGCTTTGCATGTTTCTAGGGGTTGATTCCCCATTCTTTTCAACCATCCTTCTTTTCAAAAACCAGCTATTTTCCCTGGGTTTCCGGAGGTTTTCTAGAAAGAAGGATCCCTGGAAAGAATGGGGAGGGTACCCCTAGAATGTTGGTGTGCCCAAACAACGTTTTCAAGTCTCAAAGCGTCACGCTAGCATTGTGTGCCGAACAGTTGTGAAATGCATTCATGCACGTGGGTTGCCTTCCGAGATCCTGAGGGTTCAATCCCTAACTCAGCTATGTAAGACGGGGTGCCTTATAAGCAGGCTGCACAGGACTGGTTTGCTGGGTTGGGATACGACGACTTTGTTACCAGCTTCTTTCAGGCTTTCTAGCGGCACGCACCGGTCCTTTCCAGTCGCCGCACTCTGCCTGGCACAGAAACCAGGCATGACACGACAATGCCATGAGTCCATGTCTTACTGGATTTGGGTGTGTCTTAAATACCCCCCCCCCAAACAACCAAAAACTGGTTTTCCAAATTAGTATCCCTTTCAACCACAGGGTATCAACACACCAAAAAAAGGACAAACGCATTTGCTACCCTCCCAGCAATCAACATGGAAGCTGACGTTCGGAGGGGAGGGGGGTTTAAAGGACCGGGACTCCCGCACGTCACGTTCCATGTGAAACGGGTGGGAGGGTAGTACTTCCCTTGTCTAACTTCACAACTCTTGGTATGGTTGCCCCTCAACCTTTGTTGTTTTTGCGGCTTCCTGCTAGTTCCACAGCGGCTGAGATGATAGCCATGTCTACCAAGTTCTAACAATTGAGCTTGTGTTGCTTACACTGGATGAAAGCCATGGTGCCTTGAACCACAGAACCCCAAAAAGACCTTTTGAACCTACTGGAATCCTCCTTTTGAACCCTCCCTGAAAGCTGCCCCAAAGCCCCCCAGAGCCTATCTGGGCAGAGACCCCGAATCGCTTCCAGCTGTTGGGGAAAAAAGTTGACTTTCACAATCCACAGCTTTGCAAAAAAAAACCATTGTTTTTTGCGGCCCCCTGCTAGAATTGAGCAGAACCCCAACAGGGATCCTTACATTATACACCTGAACATTGCAACTTGTAAATGCTGGTTTCCAACTCTATCTTGGTGTTGAAAAAGCCACATGTTTCAAATGGTTACGCAAAATGTATCGATCTTTTTAACTCTATTTTGGTGTTGAAAAAGCCACATGTCTCAAATGGTGGCAACATTTGTATCTTTTAAGGAGCCCCCCCCCAAAAAAAAGAGACCAAACACCCACCAGCTCCAAGCACAGCGCAGCGACTTCGAGCCCTTCGCCTGGCCGAGGTCCGGAGCAGCTCCTGACCGTTGGAACCGACCGCGCGATTTTTTCTCCCCGACCGTGGGGAAGGGCTGTGGGTAAAATGCAAAAGGACCACTGTGATACGATGAAAAGGGCTTCACCAAAACCAACCTCAAAGAAAAAGGGGAGATTCACTTGTAGAGAAGTGGGGATGAACCCCTAGATCCCATCCCCCTGGAGTCCAAAGCAGCTACGACGACTGTTTGAGGCCTCACAAAATTCGGGATTTTGAGACACATCTAATTTTCAAATAGACAACCCTGGGAAATCACACAAAATCAATATAAACCAATCAATTGAGTTGTTCTATTCTAGTAAACTAACCGATCAAAAGGACACCGCTGGTCGCACCGAGTCGCAACTCAAAGCGTTAAACCTTGGTGTCCAGTCCTGAGTGAATGTCTCAGGCATAGCGGCCTGCATAGAGGGTGCCGCGAGCGTGGTATGCAAACCTGCCGGCACATGGGTCCAATGTGTGTCGATGTGAGGCCCCCTCTGCAAACAATTTAAATCACTTTTTGTGGGCCCAATTCGGAAAATATTATTTCTGATTCAACCCAAAAAGTTGAAGTCCAAAGATCCAATCCAATAGCCATAAAGAATGCTGCTCGTTGCTGTTGTTATTTGTTGCTGCTTGGTACTCCTTGTTGCCGGTTGCCGGTTGCTGCTACCTGTGGCTTCTTGCCGTCGGGTAGATGCCTGTCACTGCCTGTCACTGCTTGTGGGTCCTGTATGGTCCTGTTCGACCGTAGCTGTGGCCATTGCTATTTCTGGGACAAAGGTCGGGGAGGCTGGATGTTGGTTTTGGCGGGGTCGCTGTGGGCACAAGGGATGGCTCTTGCAATCCCCGAACCTGTCCAACCGCATACGCACAACACCAATGACAAGCAATGCGGCCAACCTGGGAGACATGGCTGTCTTTTCTTAGGGGACCCCAAAATGGCTGGTATCCAACAAACAGGTACCAACTCAACAAGAGACCCACATGCAGTCATAGGCGTCCCTTTGCTAAAAACCATCTAAACCGGTGGCATCCATCAAAATTCTGGCCAAACTCACCAATCAAATGGACGTCACATCGAGCTTGGCCTTTCGCGATTTCAGCTTGAACCCCATGGAATCCCAGAGCGCTGAGTTGGATTTGCTGGAAGCGCCTTGAACGTGCGATGCCAAGTTCCGGGGCGATGTGCGCAAAAACCGAGGAGGCCACCTTGCCTTTGTAAGCATATGCTAGGTCCTCCAGTAGAAAGGGTAGAACAAGGGTACCCATTTTTTTCTGTAGTCTATTTTGATAGGGGAACCGAGAAAGGGCACTACTGGGGGACCTGGGCACAGAAACCAAGAAGGCCGCTTGCCACTGAGAACGGAAATGGGGGGTTGGTACTGAGTTCAACTGTGAGGACTAAGTCTAAGACACAATTATTGATGAATCACATCGTGTGTGTTCGGTTTAAAGACCATACTTTGTAAGACTCAACGTCAAGTGATGAATGACAAAAGGAACTGAGGTCAAACTTTGCGAACCCAAAAAGTTGCAAACCTCGAACAAAGTGAAACACCAGGCACTTGACAGCATGGAAGCCGTCAGGAGGTCACAATCATTACCTCACAACCCTTGGTATGGTTGCAAAAATATTTGGTTTTTGCAGCCCCCTACTAAAAATGAACAGAAACAATGAACGACGAAACAAAAAAACAAAAACATGCCAAGAACAGTGAAGAGTCTCTTCCAGAGGCATCCGCTCGGATTCCAAGTTTGCGGGAGGTAGGGTATCAACCCGGAGGGAGAAATTGCATGTCGAAGGACTTCCTCTAGTTTTGCGCCTGGTTGAAATGCAAACTTTGCCTTGGTTGGCCACCCCCCCCCCCCCCCTCATCTGCAACTGCTATGGGCAAACTGCCAAAGTCGGCAGTGCAATCGGCTTTGTCATCCCACTTGCATGGCACCTGACAGGGCGTCCCTTCAAAAAGGAAGCGTTGATTCAAGAGCCCTCCCGGAAGCGCCACAAGAGGCGATCAGGTAGTCAGTAAGCCCAGTGAACCCACAAAAGTCATCGTTATACTCAGTTGTTCAGCGACCCTGGAAAAAAAAGGGAACCCTTTTTGGGGAAGACCATTTTAGTGGGGCAGCCACCAACAAAAAAAGGGGAACAAGGGAGCCACTGAACAACTGAGTACAAGTCTCCGTTCAGTGGGTTATTTCACCAGGCTTACGATCACCACTTACTCCGTACCAAATCAATCGCCCCTTCCAGCAGCACCTCTGGGAGAATCCCCTGCCTGCACCTCTCTCCAGGGCGCCGGTGCAACATGCCATGCAGTCGGGACATGCATCCGTTGACGAAGAGTTACGACAAACTACGCGTAGGTGGCCTGTTGGAAAAAATCGATGGGTTTCAGCTTCCATGTGGTAAATGGAATCATCCCATCCAACCACTGGAACCCATCTATTTTGAAAAACAAAACTAACCTAACTATGAAAACATGTGGCTGTCAAGCCCAGATCCCCTGCAAAAATATGCATTTCATCTTGGTTTCTGTTGACCCCAGTCCCCACTCTTGACGCAGATGCGCGGAACCATCTTCATCACCATGACCTATGTGTACCGTGTTGTTGGCGTCTTGCGCTCACTTGGACGGCCATCTTGGCGTCAAATACCAGGGAAGCAGCCCCTCATTTGGACACGCTGCGTGCTGTGGATGCAGCTCTGTGGTTTGGTGTGTCTTTTCTCCTGCGCTCAAACATACATGCTAAAGATGCATTCCAGACAAGTCCTGACTTATGTTCTAGCTTGCATCCGGATTCCGACGAATCGTTGATCAACATGCGCCTCATCTACTCCGCCAGGCTGAGCGAGCCAAGCCATGAGCCAGGCAAGCACAGGGCCTTGTCAAACAGCGCTGATGCTTGAGATACTGTGGATGGTTGCGAAATCCAGTTCGCACCAGCTTGAAACCAATAAAAACCATTGTTGGTTGGTATTTACAGGGGAATCATCATTCCAGGGTTTCTTGGGTGGTGCAGGATTTCGTCCATCCACTGCATCAAGGCTGCCAAGTTGCGACGGCTTTCCAGCAAACCTATATACAACACACTCACCCGAGGCAAAGCAAATAGTGCAAGAAAAAAAATCACAAGCCACCAACAACACTGGAAAGGCAAGAAGCAGTAACCACATGTCGGTCTGTCTTTTTCAGTGCACCCCCTGTTGGTTGGTTTTGCCAACAGGAACACTGTCATTTTGGGGGTGTCCCGTAAAAAAGAAAAACGTCCACGTACAAAGAAGAAGCAATTGCAAGCTCTGTCCACCGATGACTCACACAGGGAAAAGCTAAGGGCACCTCACAGCGAATCCAGTCCCTTAGGCAAGTGGGTGCCTTTGTTGAGGTTGGACCGTTGGAACCCCAAAATTGTGGTTCTCCTTTTTGGTTTCTCTTCAAAAAACACACAATCAAAGAAGTACCCTCGGGAAAAAAAGGTACAGTTCGGCAGAATCTCCTTAAAAGCCACGCAATCAAACGAGCACCCTCGACAAAAAGAAAAGTACAGTCTGGCAGAATCTCTTTAAAATCCACAATCAAATGAGTACCCTCAAACAAAAAAGTACACTCAGCACGACTCGTGGAACTCCTACATGCTGAAGCGTGATCTCGGCTCGTGGGAGCGGCGTTGGAAATGACCACGGGCTGGGGTCAAGGTGGCTGACTTACCACGACCAATCCCGTGGCATCGATTCAGCCGAAAAGGTGGTGTTTTCTGCCATGACAATTACCCTCCCACCAGCCAACGTGGGTTTGTGCACAGACCCCTGTAGAACGACAGAAAGGGCCTTTTGGCACTTCATGTTCGTTGGTGGAAGGGTAACCTTTTCGTCTTCACACCTTGCTGGAAAGAAGCAGCATCAAACAAACAGCCATGCAACCACGGGGTTTGGTGCAATGCACAGGTCCAAGATTCGAAGGCTACGAACGTGGTTGTGAAACTTCAGGATCCTCCTAAACCACAATGATAAGGAACATTGTGAAACTTTGTGTTTACCACCAAAATAAATGGTCCCCATCCCAAAACGCTTAAAAGGCCCATGAACTCAGGAAGTGAGGCCAAGGGTACCTGCCATTTGCTTAACCCGACTGGGAAAAATAGAACAAATCCAGTAGTGATAGATACCCTTTAAAACCAACAGGGGAAAATAAAAACATTCATTCATTTCAGCAAATGGATGGTACAGAAACTTCACCCGGGACTCCGCCGCTCGATCCGATCGAGCATCCCAAACCCACGCCTCCACCCCGAGCGCCGCTGCGCAGCGCTCTGTGGCGTTCTGCGCGTGAAAGGTCTCCTCCTGGCAGCTTCTGCCAGATTCTAGGGGTACCTTCCCCCTTCTTTCGAGGCATCCTTCTTTCTACTAAACTTAAACCACCAAAAACCTGGGGAAACAGCTGGTTTTTGAAAAGACCGATGGTTGAAGAGAATGGGGAATCAACCCCTTCCTGGATCGATTGAAGTCAAATCCAAACTGTATGCTTTGCAAACCAGAAAGTGATGGCAAACAATGGTGGACAAAAAAACACATCTCAGGGCCTTTTTTTTAATATTTGCAGCCTCAACCCCACAATTTCTGTACGCTCCAGGCAAGTGGTTAAGCCTGTTGAAATCACCCACAAAAGCCGTGTTTTTTCCCCCTTTTTTTCCCGCTCAGTCTCGGTTCAATGGGGTTTTTAAGTACCTGGCTTACTAACCACTTCCGAAGTACGAAGCACCCGATCGCTTTGAGTAGCTCTTTCCCCCTGAGCAAAATGATCATTAAATTGAAAAGGTAAATTCATAAACCACTGACCTTGTGCCAGGAGAACCGACCTGATGCGTGCCGGGATATACAGTTGTCCAAGTGATTCACCTTCAATCATGGATAGTTTAAGGTACAGGATCGTCTCTGAAAAGTCACTCGCTCAAGATTCTCCTGCAAGTGGAGCAAATCCTCACGATGCCACGCCATTTTGGCGTTTGAACGGCAACTCAACGGCTTCAAATTCTTCCATTTGCTTTTTCGCCCCCTAGAAAAAAAATGAGAAACTATGTCCAGTAGTGAAATCGATTCCAACTTTAAAACCAACAGGGGAAAAAACACAATTCAGCAAATGGATTCTTGCAACAAAAAGCGACAGATTCGACAAGAACAACTTGGCCGATCGATCCGGTAAATGCCCTGCTCCTGGCCCTCGTCGCCCAACAGCTTCCACCGCATAGCGCAGGAGTGCGAGGTGCGGCGCCCGTCCTGCACCACCTCGGCGCGTTTTAACTCTTCCCCCCCGGAAACTGCTGAAAGGGGCGATTGTTTTTCTGTTCATTGTTGGCACGGGGCTGAAGCTTTTTGCTACATACCAAGGGTTGTAAAGACAGGCATTGTCTTTGGGGGTGTCGTTTTTGAGGCTGTTCACAGCTTCCTAGGGGAAACGTCCATCTCCATACTTTCCAGGGATCCGGATCTTTCTAGGAAACCTCCAAAAAACCCTGGGAAAATGGCGATCGGTTTTGAAAAGAACGATGGCTGCAAAGCATGGGGAATCAACCCCTAGAAAAGGGGCGATCGGGTAAGTAAGTGGTTAGGCCTGGTCATAACCCACTTGCCATGGTTATAAGTCTCCTAAGTAGGTGATGACCAGGCGAAGTACCCCCCTTTAAGTGGTGGGCTTGTGAATCAAGATGGAGAAAGCGCCCGAAATACAAGCCCATGTAAGTCACAATCAAAACCTGGTACAAAAATGGTGAACCCAGAACCATGTAAAGAAAGGCGGCCGCAGCTATTTATGGTTGGGATCGTCCTTTACTAACCTTCATCTACCCAGGTTTTGATTGTGGCCCATGTGATATTCTCAACAGCCTCGGAAGCCCTTTGGATTCAATACGAGGGAGCTTCCCTGAAAGCTGCCCCAAACGTCCAAACCACTCCGGAGCATAGTTGGGCAAAGACCCCAAAGCTTTCAACTGCTGGAAAACAAATAAACAAAACGCATAACAATAATGATAGTAATATAAACAAAAAAACAGCCAAGGGCACAGTCCACCCCATTTTCTGCGGCAGGGGGAAGGACTTCCATGGGTGATCTGCCTAAAGATCCCGACGCGGCGCGAGCGCCTGAAGAAACCCAAAGATGATTTGACAAACTTACCCGTTGGACAGGAAGAAAGGCAGATCTCACTTCCATTTTGACTTCTTTCAGCCAAAGGACTGTCCAGCTGAGCGGGTTTTGTACACCGATCAAAACCAAACTTTGAGTAACATGTCCACTAGGGAAGACTCCAATTAGTCCGTTCCACAAAAATCAATACGGTCCCCCTGATTCCGATACATGCTTCCCAGGGCAAACTCATATTATGGTTGTGCCTTCTCAAAGGGGGACCTCCAAAAATGCTGGTGTCCCCTTGGTGTTGGGGTTTCACATGATTAGAGTTAGGCCCAGTCATAGAATGTATATATTAGTCTTTGCTTCACTTTGAGTCACTGGTAAAATCCAAAAATTATCCCAAGTCTACCCCTGAGGTGTGCTGTCTTTCTCTTTTTCATGGAACCGAATCATCCGCCACGAGCGAGCGAGCCCGCGAGGTTCGGGGAGTTCCGGATCCCCTGCCTGGCCGCGCTTGTCCTTCTGCAGCGAGGGCTGGAAGCCTTGGCGTTGCTCACAGAACCCCAGCAGGCGCTGCAGCTCGAAGCTGTCGAAGAGCCCTGCACACCGGCGACTGCCGGCCGCCCGCGCGCGCGCGAGTCGAGCTTCGATTTCGGGGTCCAAAGCCACCAGAGTCACTTGCTCAAAACCCACTATCAGAATGGTCGACCCAGAACCATGCTTCAAGAATTAAGAAGGCAGCAGCTATTTATGGTTGGGAGTGTCTTTTACTAACCTTCACTTGCCCGGGCTTTGAGAAATGTCTCACGGTCTTGGTGGTCTTTGGTGCACTTGGTTGTGTGCTCAAATTCATGTGGCGTAGAAACATGTAGCATGCATTTAGGCCTTCTTTCGCGTCTCAACGAAACTGGCAGGACGACCATCGGGCGCCTTTCTACAATTTGTCCGATCTTCGATCTTCTCAACGCATACTTACTACATGCCAGCACTTTTCAAGGAACCCGACATTCGTGGTGTGTTGCTTCAATTCAGCTTCTTCCATTTGTTTCAGTCCCTTGGAAACAAATGAGAACATTGAAAAGAAACAAACATCATCTTCCAGGATCCCTCAGTCAGGTTCCATGTTAATGAACGGGAGGGTATTCTTTTCAGCCATTTGCTTAAGCCCCCTGCAACAAATACAACCGTTTCCAGTAGTGTCGGATTCCATTTAAAACCAAAAGGGTACAATAAACAATATTCTCAAGCAAATGGAAGATTTCAGCCAATGGAAGGCTTCTAGGCCCTCCAAGTAGAGAGGTTAGAAAACGGGTTCGGAGCCCTCCCAACCCACAAAGGGGTGAGAGGTCGGGCACCTAGCTGGGGGGCCTAGTACCTATCCACTCATAGCTACCTATTTCTCCATCAATCACACCAATGGATCTCACCAGCAAGTCATTGGTCACTGGTAAAATGTAAGATGCATCCTAAGTCTAACCCAGAAATGGTTTAGTGGCCTGTTTGGGTTGAGTTGCAAGGGGCCCCGGATAATTCTTCCAAAAAAGGAAGGACACCGGTGAAAACCCACTGGAAGATTTCAGCCAATAGGTTTCCTTCGAGCGGAACCTCTGGGATCGATTGTTCGACTCCCCGCCTTCCACGAGGTAGACCTCCAGCTCCTGCGCCGAAACACCGAAGCGAAGCGAGCGCCAGGTGTCTTACAATGTTAACCACGGATTAATAAGACACCCGGATTGCTTCACTTTGTTTGAGTCACTGGTAAAACGTAAAAGATATCCGAGGATAATAAACAAAACAAACAGTGTAATGTCAACCCTGGATTAAGCAGAAGCCCTGGTTTGGACTCGTTGCCATCCAGGAAGATTCGATCTAGGCCAGAGTCCTTGTAGCCAAACAAGTGCACGACACACAAGGAGTAATATTAACCCCACATTAATAAACCCCTGGATAGTTGAGAGTCCAAGGTTCCATTTACCAGGGCAAGCCATTTACCAGGGCAACCCACAGACAAAAAAAGTAATAACCCCGGATTCAGCAGAACCCCTGGTTGATCTTGATTGGGGGGTGGGGTGTCCCCTTTTATATAGTAGGGATTCAGACCACTCTTGGAGGGAACACCTCCCTAATAATGGGACGGGTTTATTCCTCCTGGGTCAACATTAGGGCCTGTCGTTCAGTCGAAAAGGAGACGAAGACACATCTGGGCTGCCCGTTTTCTGATCCCCTACTAAAAGTTTAACTTTTAGTGGTTTAATGGAAAACCCATGAGTCGGCAAAAAGTTACAGTCCTAACATCCAAGCAACATGCACCAAAGATGAGGTGAAGGGCAAGTAGCACAAGGAATTCGTGGACCAAAAAACGTGTTACGGAATGGGTCCTGGAAACCATCGATTAAACTTTTGGAATCCGCGTTGCTTCGAGCGGTTGCCAGTCCGCAGTGGAAGTTTGTTTGCAGCAGAACTTAGCGTATCTGAATCTGACATATCCGGACGTCCGCGTCAGAAAGAGTTTCGAGCTTTGATGCAAAGCAAAGCTCCTTCACAGATACGTGCTCTCGATATGTAGCCTTTCCGGGAAACTTGTTGCGCGCCATTCATGCTTTCCCACACGCACACAGGACATATGCGGGCTACTGTATTCACCGGCCTGGGGTGATCAAGCAAGCGAAAGCTCCATGCGCTGTGGCTCGAAAAACCGGAATTCCAAAATGGCTTGCCCTGGTCAGTGGAAACATGGGTTACCCAAAACCTGCGGAGCCAGATCTTTGAGCCACATCAGGGCCTCCGACAGCGAATTCCCCCCGCTTTGAGTCGCGGAGCTTGTGGCGCGAGTCTAGGTGCTGATCAGCAGAACGGGGATGTCTAGGGGAGAAAAGCAGACCCCCCGTCTTCACCGAGGGGAGAAAACCAGCCCGTCTTCACCGAAGTACGTGTAATCAGGGTTCCACTTTTCGATTACCATAAGGCAGACTTCAACCAAGGGTTCATGTCCCCAAAGATGAGGACTGGGTTTAAGTCTATTGGGGCTGATCAAAAAGTGAAACCCTGGCTGTAACAAAAGGCTGTGGCTCAAAAAACCGGTACCAAAATAGAACCCTGGTAAGTGGAAACATGGACCAAAACCTGCGGTTTGCCCCTCCTACTAAATTTTGAGCCACACCCAAAAAACGAGGCAGGCGTCGTGGCCCAGCGAGTTCAACTCCCCCGGCTCCGTCGCATCCGTGAGCCGGCGGAAGGACACCTTGCGCTCTTTGACCCAAGCGACCTGGCGGAGTAGGTAACACCATCCTCCAGATCTCTTTTGTACTACCGTGGATGGACAAAATCCTGCACCTCATGTTCCTTACCACTAAAATGGTCCAAAACCAAAACGTATCAAGTACATGAACTCTGGAGATGAGAATAACACACACTAGGTCCTCCAGTAGAGAGCTTAGAATAAGGGTACCAACTTTTTACTGTAGTCTATTTTAGCAGGGGAACCCTTCCCCAAAAAAGGGGCAAAAGGGCTGTCCCCAGACCCGAACACCCCCAGGCAAGTCTGGGCCCTCCCGATGTTCTTGGGGGGGAAGTTCAGCAAAGGTTGCCGCCGCTTCGGGACCCAAAACTAGAAGGCGACCACCGTTTTGGACCAAACATGGCGGCCAAGAAGGGAAAGGCATAAGTCATGGGTGCTGGGGTGAGGGAGCCCTACATAGCCCTAAGGCCTAAGGGCAAGGGCTTATTTGGGCTCCCCCCATCCCTCCCCCCGAGCCCCCATGCATAAGGTCAAAAGGTGGATTCGCTTTGAACTGAGTAGCCTGGGCTGCACTGTCAAAGTTCCCCTCCGCCCTTGAAAGAAAGACTGGGATACTTCAAAACGTTCAGCACCCCTACAAATAACTCCCCTCGCTTCCTTGTGGTTCGTAGCTAGGCGAAATGGTTTTCCACGGCATGTTCTGGACAAGAAAGGTCCGCGGATTGTGCGGAAGGTCTTGAGCAGTGCATTGACCACTTCAAGGTACCCCATCAAAACGGACCAGGCGGTACGAGGTCCTCAGTCACTTGCCTTGCAGGGCTCTGGAGGAGTCAGTGGCTTGCCGCACCGCAGCACCTGCGTCAGGCTTCGTGCTTTGCAAGGAATCCCCAAACCCGTTCAATTACTACTAGGTCCTCCAGTAGAGAGGTTAGAATAAGGGTACCCTTTTCTTCTGTAGTCTATTTAGTAGAGGAACCCTCCCCAAACAAAGGGTAAAAGGGCACTACTGGGGGACCTACCTATCTGACCAGCAAGTCATACTATCGCAGCTGGATCGGGCAGCCGGGAAGCGATCTCTGAACGGACTCAGCAGCTAACTCAGATTCGGTGGGTTTTCCTGCTCTATTCATCCCGTGTTTAAATCTGCAGATCCAGTCACCCTTCTCAACTTGTTCACTCGTGGTCCAATCATCTCAAATACCCTCAATCATCTCAAATGCACTCCAATGCCCCTTTCATGGCCCAAACAGCTGCCGTTCTCCATCCCACTAAGAACCGCGTTGTCTGATCACCTTGAGTCACGTTCATTGCATTGAAGTTGCTGCCAACGGAAAGCGAAGCATCAGAGCGGGGAATGCATATGGGCATGGGTCATACTTAAACCACCAAAAAACCGCAGGTTCTAGTCTTTGGTTCCATTTACCAGGGTTCCCAAAACGGGTACCAATTTTTGACCCACCGCCATATGAATTTTCCTTGGCCTCTTTGTAGTAACGACGCCAAATTGTCAGAACTCCCTGCGACTGGATCAGTCGATAGCTCGCAATCGTGCCCAGTCGGGGCTACCAGGCTACCAGGGTGTCCAAACCTGTGAGAACCAACTTGTCATGAGCAGGGATCCTTAATGAACATTGCAACTTGTACATGGTGGGTTCCATTTCTTTATTTTGGTGGAAAAAGCAACATGCTTCAAATGGTTGCAAAATGGAGATCTTTTAAGGAGCCCTGTGGAGGTCATGTGGAGGTTCATCAACTAGGTTAAAACCAGTAGAGAGCTTAGAATAAGTTGGTACCGTTTCTGTTTTCTGCAGTCTATTTTAGTAGGGGAACCCTCCCCCCAAAAAGGGGTGAGAAAGGGACTGGGGACCTGGTCAATATTCCCTTCTCCCCCAATGTCGAAAATGGGTAACTTTTTGACCTATGTGGTTGAAATATGCACATCCGGTAGTGGTTCTCCAACCAATGGTCATCCCATGTATAGGACCGTTTCATCCATTTGCTTAAGCCCCCAGGGGGGGGGAGGGGGGAATAACATATCTACCCAACAAGGGAACAACACATATTTCCAGTAGTGATAGATTCCAACTTTAAAACCACCAAGAAGAAAAAAGAAACACATATTCATCTCAGCAAAATAAAGGATTGATCAGCCCCCAAATTCCAAGGCCCCCGGGTGTACCTCAAGTCTGAGTCTCGCGATGTCTCGCGTTCCGAGTTCCGCGCCTGGCCCTGCTGCCCGTGCCGAACCTCGGCGAAAGACACGGCGAGGGCGCCGGCCGGATGCGTCCGGATGCGCCGCGGGGGCCCTCTAAGATGGAGCGGGCGGTTCGGATTTCCGGGTGGCTTCCCTTCTAGGTTCTTGAGTAGAGAGGTTAGAACAAGAGTACCTTAACTTGTTTTTCTGTAGTCTATTTTAGTAGGGGAACCCTCCCCCAAAAAAGAAACGGTAAAAGGACACTACTGGGGGACCTAGGCTTTGAAACCAACCGAAGTGAACAGTTGAACAGACAACCTGCCCTTCACATGACACCCATACACCACATACCCCACATACCCCACATACCCCACATACCCCACATACCCCACATACCCCACATACCCCACATACCCCACATACCCCGCATACCCCGCATACCGCGTCTCGAGCAAGGAAGCTTTCTGGCAGAGAATGAGAGCGAGTGAATGAGAACCAAGGAGATACTTAAAGGGGCGATTGATTTGGGACGTCAAGTGGTGAGAGTAAGCCTGGTGGCCCACGGAACGGATACTGAACAAACCATGGCTTTGTGGGTTATTTCACCAGGCTTACCAACCACTTATACTAGCCGATCGCCCCTTCAAGTAGGCCCCGGGAAGACCCTGTTCTTCACAATTGTCTGCTCAAATGGACCTTCTGCTGGTGGAGGGTAAGCGTACGGTGCTATCGGTGGGCCTTCCTTGAACCTTGAACTCAGATGCCGTACCTGCTTTAGGAACTGAACAGTGCATGGCTGTGCCTGTGGATGATGTTCAGCAAGGATTCTGTCCCCAGAGGTTTCATGGCACACGGGGGTTTCTTCAACTTGAAAGTCCAGGAGATTTCTGGCAGAATGAACACCTAGGATGCATTACCCTCAGGTTTCAGCAGTCTTTATGGAAGGTCCTCCAGATTTGAGAGGTTAGCATACAGGTTCCATCGTTTCTTTTTTTCTGTAGTCTATTTTAGTACGGGAACCCTCTCAACCCAAAAAAAGGTGACAAAGGGCACTACCGGGGGACCTCAAGCCCCAGCAGTTTCCATGGAGGTTCTTCACTCAGTAGAGAGGTTAGAATAAGGGTACCAATTTGTTTCTTCTGTAGTCTATTTTAGTAGGGTTCGGAACCCTCCCAACCAAACAAGGGGTGAGAAAGGGCACCTAGCTGGGGGCCCTAGCTGGAGGTTCTTCACTCAAGTCTTAAAGTTCAGAGGCGAAACAATTCATCCCAGCGGCATCGAAGCCGCCCTTCATCTCCGCGTCCCACCACTCGTAGATGCGCCGAGGCGCACCTGCGGGTGACAGTGGGCTACGCGGCCGCATGGAGGGATCGCCAGGCCGAATGACAGCTTCCACTTGCTTAAGCCTCCTAGAAAAACCAACAGGGAAAGATATTAAAATCAATTCTTAAGCAACTGGATGACAATTGGAGTGGGGTGATTGGCTTGAGCTGTGGATATCAACTCACAGTTTGCCCTATCGCCCTATATCGCCCTGTTGCTCTTTGGCCTGCGGGGGAAAGGGATTTCTTCTGGTCCCAGAACCAGTGCCTGTTTGGTGCCCCGGAGACTGGGTGGCTGCGATGACTGCAAGACGAGCGCCGTGGGCCCTAAGATGCCTAAGTAATCAAGTTGCGGGGAACGGCACAAAATGGAATGGGCCAAACATCAAATACCTCCCGTGCTTGGACGAGGCGAGCTTTCCCCAAATACAGGTATGAAAGGTCGAGATTGAATCGCAGCAAGGAAAGTAAAAAACACACACACACCAAGACAAATCAACACACACACACACACAGCAACCAACACAAACCAAGAACACACACACAAAGCAATACACAGGAACACAAAGGAACACACAGCAACACACACGGCAACACACACACACACATACATACACCCCCCGGCCACTCAACAACTGAGTAGCATGCATCACAGCCAAAAAAAGCAAACACGAACAGAACACATCGTCTTGCAACGCGCCAATCTGACTAGGAACTAACATCTTGTCCCGGCTGACATGGAAACACATGACCAGCCTTGCGTTTGACTATCAAACACCCTTGCAAAAGCTGGCAAAGGTTTACTTGGTTGACCTTGGAAGGGGAGCAACAATTTAAATTTCAGCAGTGAAGTGGGAATTTCCCCCTAGACCCCAATAAACAAAAATGTGCAATGTTTCTTAACAACAACCATGTTTAGGCCGAGCTGCTCTTTCTCTCCTTCTCCATGAAGCTTCGCCACTTCTCCAAGCCGATCGTCACCTGCCTGGCGACCAGACCGACCAAAAGCGGCCTGGCTGAGGTGGGAGTTGGGTGGCGAGCAACGCAGCCGGCGCAAAGCAACTCAGCGGGGTTGCTTTGAAGACCCAAAAAAGGGGTAGATATGGTGTAAGGGTTCACAGTTGCAGGTGGTCCTACCCTTTTTTCCTATGATGCTTGCGGAGCCTTACTCCTAAAAAGGGGTATTTTTCCGGACTCCGATTCTCCCAATACTAAGTTAGAATACTAAGCCAATGTTAAAGCAGCATTTTTCTGCCGACCCAATTGCAGTCGCATGAGGGGGTTCTCCGAAACAAGTTCAACTTGAAGTGCAAAGTCACATTTTGAAGTGTGATTTCAAATGCGCCCCTCAATTTTGAATTGGCATGTGGCATGATATCATCAGAATCTTCTTGGAGAAGGGCTCGACAAAGGAACTCTGGGTGGTTGCGAAATCCATTTCGCACCACTTTGAAACCACAACAAGCCATAACGTTTGCTGGTATTTACAGTGGATGCATCACCCCAGGGTTTCTTAGGTGGTGCCTAAGAGGATTGTGTCCATCCACAGAAAAACGCGCGAGGACATCCATGTGTCTGGAAGTCCGCAAGCGCGTTGGCCGCCAGGTACGGGCTGCCAAGAAGTTTGCCCCGAGACTCTGTGGCACGGCTATTTGAATGCTGCAGCTTAAACTGGCGGTGGTGGCATTTGGCTGTGGCTCAAAAAGCCGGTACCAAAATGGAACCCTGGTAAGCGGAAACATGGACCAACACCTGCGTAACCCCTGCTGTTTAATTTTGAGCCCCACCCATTTATCAATAACACACCAGTCTGTTTCCAATACATGTAGTGGGATCACCGATCCTTCTTGTGACGAGCTGACCTCGCGGGTTTTGCCCCTGCATATTGCCTGAACCTTACTGCACAGGAACTGAGATGGGATGGTCTGTCTTGTTTCCCCGTTTTTTGTTTTTTTTCCCCGCGGACATGGTCTGATTTGTTTTTTTTGGGTCCGTTTTTTTCTCCGCGGACCCCCCGAAATTTCTCAAATGGTGGTGGTCCGCTTGGCTTCCCTTGAAAACCCACAGAAAGTGGGCGAGGCTTGTACGCCATGGTGAACTACCGTCGTCCATATGCGCCACCCTTTTGGCAAAGCGCCTGGCAAAGCGCGCAGCCTCAGCAGGATGGCTACCTGGGCAACAGCAAACACAGTCGCCCAATTTGGACCTTCCGGGGAAAAAAACCTAAAGTCGGCAAAAAAAGCAACACCTACAAACACTCAGTTCCTAGAAGTCGGCCAAACAAATTGGAAAAACCTAAGGTCAGATCGATCGGTCGATTCGCTTTGGTTGCCTCAGATCAGAGAGGATTCTAGGCGCGGAGGCTTGGCCCCATAGGTACTTCAACTAGGTCCAAACCAGTAGAGAGGTCAGAATAAGGGTACCCACTTCTTTCTGGTTAGAATAAGGGTACCAACCTTTTTTCTAGGGGAAACTTCCATTTCCAATTCTTTCCAGGGGTCCCAATTTTTCTAGAAAACCACCAAAAACCCTGGGGAAATGGCGATCGGTTTTTGAAAAGAACGATGGCTGAAAAGAATGGGGAATCAACCCCTAGTCTTTTTTTCTGCAGTCTATTTTAGTAGGGAAACCCTCCTCCCAAAAAGGGGAGAGAAGGGCACTACCGGGGGACCTAGTCAAGACACTTGGCCTGTGATGGACTCCTTTTCTGTGGAACTTTGTGGCCGGGAAAAGAGCTCACTTAGGGGGCGGTTGATCCTAGGGGATGTTGGCAATCACGTTCATGGGTCGCCATCATGGTACAAGCAGATTCCAACAAAACTTGACTCTTCTGTGTACAATCGTTCCAAAGTGGTCAATCATGAATAGAATGCAACAATTGCAGGGGCAAATGGCTTTGTCCCAAAAAAACATGTACAGGTTCGATTGGCTGATTGCGGGATTCTTGGTCTGTCTTTTTTGAGGGTGCCCGACTTGTAGTGGATGTTTAAGAGAAACTAAAAGGGGGAGTGCCCTACAAACAGACACATGTTTGTGGAGAAAGGATGCTTCGGCAGTACCCGTGACTCTGTATCTCACTGCGAGGTCGTTCAAGTTAGCCAACACATCCCGAACCATTTCGCATGTACATGACAAGAAACAAACAACACCACACACAATGCAACTTGGGAAATTCCAGACACTCGCCCCTCAGCCAAAGATGGTTGATCATCTGTGGTAACCATCTGGCAGCTTGAAGAAGCACCGTTTCTCCGGGCACCAATCAACATGTCGTCATCCTAAACACTAAACCATATTTAGACGGGCTATTGACAATGTCAACTGCGCACCGACAATATTTCGGGGCTGTTCAAAATTGGAGATCCCTCATCCTCGGCAATCCGTGACACGTATGGATTGGCTTTGAATGAGGCAGTTTGCTTACAATTTGCAACAGTCCCCTTTTGGGTTGTGGCCAAACAGCAAGCCAGGGGCTGCCGTTCCGTCAAAACATCGGTGTTGCCGCATCGTGCGCGCATGATAGAGGAGCTTGCAACATGTGAGCCGAAATTCAGGACACCTTATTAGACACCATATTGGATTGTGTCTTGTTTTGCTTTGCAAGGACAACCAGTAAGCCAAAGTGTGTGGAGCTGCAATTATTCAAACATTTGAAACAGGGATGCGCCGGCAAACTTAGGTTTGTATTGCGTACCTTAAACGTCGATGGCACAGAATAGCACGTCCCTTGCACAATCTTGCAATCTTGACGGTTTGGGTTTGGGCAGAAAATTCATGCCCATCGGCCACCAAAGCTAACATTGGTTCCCCATTGGGACTCTCAAGGGTTCTGCTCTGCTGGGTTGCAGCACTATCCAATTCTTCTGCGAGCATTCGACATGTTGGCCTACAGCAGACTCTCTGCGCCGCCATGAAACGCGAGGCAAACACCGTTCGCCGGAAACGCACACACGCACACACACGAACAAACAAACAAGTGCCCTAGCCTCGGTTTTTTCTTTCGGGATGCCCTCCTGGTCAAACAAGCTCACGCCACTGATGCCTTTTAGGCGTCCATCCAAGTCGGAAACGAGAGCCCTTTGGCGGAAATGAAGCCCTAATCTCCAAGTTCCTTTCCGCACGCTCCGGCTGAAGTTTTGAAAGGGAAGCTCCAAAGAGGTTGATGTTCGATAAAGTTCACACTAAAATTTGGCCCAACCGAGCCTCGCAGAATCCGCGCCTTGTTCAATTTTCGGACACTGCGGGTCCGAGCTGCTGCGGTCGTAGCGGCTGGGGTCCGCGGGGTACCAGAGTTGAGGCACTGAGACATCGAACTGGTCAGCCGTCAGATCCTTATGGACACGAAAACGAGGTCGTGGGTACTTCTCACAGGGTAGGTACAGAGGCAGGGCACAAAGGTACGTGATTAGTAAGCCTGGTTGAACCTCACTTACCATGGTGTGTTTATAAATCTCCTAATGTTGGCACTTGATTTGCAAAGCGGAACGGAAAAGAGTCAATTGTGTCTTATTATATATATTTTTCGGGCATTGTTTCAGTGGACCGGCATAGAGTCCACGTGTTTCCCCCTTTTTTAAAATATTGAACATCAAGTGGCAAACAAAAAAACACACTAGCTCAAAATAAGTCCTAAACAATCACCCAAAACAAGGCTTGAGCTGCCACATTCTGCAGCTACCACAACTGCTCCAAATCTGGCTCCTGAAGGCTGCAGATCCCAACAACAATCAGCCACAACTGCTCCAACTCGGGAATCGCGCCGGCGCCGGCGGAATCTGAATGCAAGAGGGGGGTTAATGAGATAGGAGCCCCCCTCCCCAGTGGTGAAGGGGCCTGCGGCCGCGCTACACAGCTCCTTCTTGAGCTCCAGAAGTTTGTTTGCCCCATTTGCTTTCCTTCTTCTTTTTCGCGCGGCGGGCCTGGCCGGGGAGGCTGGCGTCTACGCCTCCAGAGCTTTGTGCGCCGTTTTTCTTCCTCCGCGTCCTTCCTTGCATCCGCTTTGGCCTTCCGCTTTGCAGCGGCGAGGCGCTTTTGACGCTCCTTCGGGCTTTCTCCCCTCGTAGCGCAAAACAAAGGCGTTACGAAAATTGCCTGCTCCGGGTGGAGCGCGTTTTGGAGTTTGGGGTGCCATAAACCTGCCCAGCAAGAAGTAGTTGCAAGATCAAAGCAACAGTAGTAGTAGTCCAAAGAAATTGCTCAGGAAGAAGTAGTTGCAAGACTATAGCAGTATTGCCCCCCCCCCCCCCCCCAAGGTCCTCCATTGTACGGGTGTCCCATATTTTTTGGCCGCTACTCTGGCGCGTCCATTGTTGAGGGGGGGGCGTTTATTCATCAAGTGCCAACATTAAGTGGAAAATAACCAGGCTTGCTAACACCCTCCCAGAGAAGCACAAGCTTGGAGTGGGTTTGGCTCCACCTCTCAACTTGCGAGACCCTGTTGTCCCGCCAATGAGGGCGCAAGGCTGCCACTGAAAAACTGGGTCTCTAGTGAGTCTAACCTGGCAACAACTTGGAAACTTACCACTCAGACATGAGAAGGAGCGAGAGAGTTGAGTGGGCGCTGCTTGCCTTGGTCAAACCGCCCCTTTGGCGACCGGTGGCCCCACGTTGCCCGCATGCATGAACTTTATCAAGGAACTTCTCCTGTATTTCCCAATGCCAATTCTTCCCAGATTTGGCAAATATAACAAATACAAGGATGACAATAGAACACCTCAAGACTTCGCAATCCAAGTCGTGACCATGATTCAGTCGGTAGGATTGCAAGGATTCAAATGGCTGTAGGTTAAAAAAAAAGGGTACCCAAAATAGAATCCCGGTAAATGGAAACGTGGACAAAACTCTACGGTGCCCCTGATGGTTTATGTTTGACCCATACCCAAACACATGGATGCAGGATTGCCTCCTGCTGACGCATGGGAGTTTCAATTCGTACGAAGAACATCAGCCTCAAACAAGTGCTCGAATTTACACTTCATGGGGAATCCGCGGACTCCAATTTTCGCTGGAAGAAAATCATCTACCCCGCGCACAGCTGCGTACTAACATGACCCCAAAATGATTCGCCACGTCACCGCAATGTGACCATCCTCGAAGGCAACAAAGGAGTGGTATGCCCAATCCTGGCCCATGGCAGGCAAAGACCAAGGCTAGGTCCTCCAGTAGAGAGGTTAGAATAAGGGTACCAACTTTTTTCTGTTGTCTATTTTAGCAGGGGAACCCTCCCAACCAAAGAAGGGGTTGAGAACATAGACGTCCTTTCAGGGGAAATAGATGGATATCCCTGGCAGATGCTTAAATTACCAGGTAAACCAGGGGAACCCATCCTATTGTCCTCCCAAAGCAAGCAAAAAGGGCACCAATCGCTGGGGGACCTAGTTTACCTTCCGGCAACATAGAAGTGGATGGTCCATGGCACACCTTTGGTTGATTCTCAGGTGAGTCCCAATCAAAACCCAGTATTAAAAAGGCAGGGCACTACTGGGGGACCTAAAAGAGAACCATGGGCTTTCAAGGTCCTTCCAAGCACAGGCTTGCTTCGAGTCAGCAAAACACAACGAGGTCCATGATGGACACGTGAAGCAAGCGACAGCTTGCGTCTCGTTTAACAAAGAAAACAAAAATAAAGAAATAATTAAACAACAAAAAATACTATCAATAATAATAATGATAATACTAATAACAATAATAATAATAATAATAATAATAACACTAAAAACAAAAATAATAATAATACTAATAACAATAACAATAATACTATTAGTAATACTAATAATGTTAATAATAATAAAATAATATTAATGATAATATATATATAACATCCGAAGACAAGCCAAACATGCAAACAATGTCAAGGAACGGACGATTGACTCATACGTCGCAGTGGGTAACCCCGAATTTATTTCTTGGCAGCAGGCAATATTGACCCATTCATGGGGCAAGTCTTGCAACCCCCTTTGCGGAAATCACTCTAGGGGGTGATTCCAACCATTCTTTTCAACCATCCTTCTTTTCAAAATCCGGATCCGTTTTTCCTGGGTGTCTGGAGGTTTTATAGAAAGATCCGGTTCCCTAAAAAGAATGTACATGGAAGGCACCCTTAGAGAAATATGTTTGTTTTGTTTCCCCCTGTTGGGAATCAAAGAGACTCGATTTCACTACTGGACATTTTCCTCACTACTGGAAGGTAACCCTAACTCGGGACCCGGGTCGGATTTAGATCAAGTCGGTTGGCCATTCTCTGCACGGCATGGAGACGCGATGTGGACAGGGACTAGGTCCAGTAGAGAGGTTAGAATAAGTTGGTACCGTTTCTTTCTTCTGTGGTCTATTTTAGTGGGGGACCCCTCCCCCAAAAAGGGGTAAAAGGGCACCTAGCTGGGGACCTAGGAGACATGTACACACCTTGGGTGCTGTAGATCGCCCAGCCCAATAGCGGTAGAGACACGTAATCGTGCTGCATTCGCATTCCTTCTACGCAATAGAGCCTTTGAGCTTGAATCCAAAAAACACAAGTCCGTGGTGTCTACAATGCTAGTTGTACATCCATCACTGGGCTGCCCGGCTGCCCGTTTTCGGATCCCCTGCTAAAAGTGAACAACTTTTAGTGGGTTTAATGAGTTTAATGGAAACCCCCACTAAACACAAAACGCTCAAAAGCTAAGGGGACGGCTGGGAGCCACCAAGATCAAGCATACTGTCAATCCTGAACAAACTCAT